TGGTCAAAATTATAGTGATTTTAATTTATAGTCGAGAAAGGGATAAAGGAGGTTGAAAAGATGATGAAGTGGATTAAGACCTAATTAACAATTAAATCATGTTTGATTAGGAAGGAGGCCAATTAATTGCCACTATGTTTTTGAGGGTCAATACATCTATTAATCAGCATTTAACAATAATGGAGCCTGAGACATTTTTAAGAATGAATAATTGTCAGACACGTAGACCAAAGTAGAACAAGCCTATGGAGGAGAATCAAAATAAATGGATAAATAATATACTCCTTTTATCCCATTAAAAGTGTTCCTTTTTGGGAATTTAATTTTTTTAAATAATACTTTTATTATTTTTTAATTGTATTAGCGTTAAATGAATTATCAATTTTACCTATAATGGCTCCACAATGATAGGATAGTTTACATTTTATAAGTTTAATATTATAAAATTAATATATTAACCTTTTAAACCAGACGCTTATTTTGAAAAGAATAAAAATAAAAAGAGAGACACCTATGTTTTTTTTGGGATGGAGGAGTAATAATGAGGAGACATGTGGGGCTTCTCGTTGACAATTTGGCTACTTAAGGGAGGTGTTAGTGTGTGTTTTTTTTTTTTTTTTTTTTTTTTTGGGGGGTTAAAGGGTAAGCTCTTAAGGGAGGTTTTGTGGGGTCCAATACTCCAATTGAGACCTTGTTTTGTCACAGAAACTGACAATGGATTAGGAGGATGAAATGGGAACACTAAGACTGATTCCTAGAAAGTTGGTATCTAAGGGTAAGCTCTTAAGGGAGGTTTTGTGGGGTCCAATACTCCAATTGAGACCTTGTTTTGTCACAGAAACTGACAATGGATTAGGAGTATGAAATGGGAACACTAAGACTGATTCCTAGAAAGTTGGTATCTAGCCCATCGGGTAAGGATTGTCTGCATATTAGACATTGAAAGGTTGTAACTTCCACAAAATTGTGGGCCAATAGTGTAAGGCCATATTGCAGAAATTTTTATATAATTCGAGACTATATCGAATTGTAATTGGCTGTGATCATGTAACAATTTTCTAGTTGATGTAATTAAAAAAAAAAATAAAATTAACATATTTACTAACATGATTGGCCGGACCATGTAATCCCAGTCCACTTACAAATTTCTCATGACTTGTGCCATCCATTTGGATAGTCTGACAGATGTAGTAGGGGTTGGGTTTTGCAACGCCTGTTGAATATTTGGCAAGGATTGGATTGAGTGATGGGAAGGAGTCTTGAGAGAATATACTCTCTCATATTCTAAAATGATTCTCTCTCTTTCAATGTGAATGAAAAAAATGGTTGTTCGAATGTTAAAAGTTTGAATAAGAACAATAGAAAATCAACAAGAGTAGACCAAGTGAAGGTTGAAATTGTGAAAGGCTTCTAGTTTTTAGAATTTTTTTCATTTTTCTTGGTCCTTCATGCAAAAGAAACTTCCAACTTTGAATTGAATATTTTGGGGGATTTTATTCCCCATTTTCTTGCAATATGAACCGTTGGATCTGGTTGGCCTACATACACCACACTTTTTCCCAATCCTTTCCCAATGAAAATTTCCTACCTTCCAAACACGCCTCCACTTGCATGCACACGCCTACAACGCGTTCTATTTGGTGGGACAAAAAGTGAGAATCATTCATACAAATTTTCTTTTTCTTTTTCTGAAGAAACCAAACACACACATCCGCATATGTTGTGTGTCCTGTTAGGGTTCGAGATCTCAACTTTCTTTTTGAAAGCAGAGAGCAGCACATGATCGGTCTAATGGCCAGGTAGTACAACTTTGACACGAACATTATTCACCTTTTTTATGGAGTTTATGATCCTACTAATAATAAGTAGATTGTTCTTTGTTTAAGTATGATATATCACTGTGTCGCAACAAATATCATAGTGAAACTTTTTACAAGTTTATTAACTGTAATTATATTATATGCACGCGGAAGCAGAGTGTGAAAGGATCAAAATTTATGTCATACAAAGTGGGAGTGGGAGTGGGAGCCATCACAAAGTGCGAGAGCCGCACCTGCTTCAAAGAATTGTGTGAGTTAGGTGTTGTCAAGTTTTTATGCAATTTTAGTAGCCATAAAGTTTATGGATCCATATTGATTGTTCAATATTGTTCCCAATATATATATATAGTTTCAAAGTTTATTTGTTTGACAATTATCTGAAAATTATTCAAAAAAAGAACTAAAAATTATTTTTGATAGGGACATTCTATCTCAGTTATTTCTACTCCTTTGTAGTGGAAGTTGGATATGTTTTGGATATGTTTCTAAACATTACACATGATATGGTATCAAACATGTCTGGATATGGTAAATTAATTTGAGCGAACAAGAAAATATTGCTTTCAAACGCAGATTGTATATAATAATTCGTCAAGGAACATCTAGAAAATTGATTTCATTTATTACTGTTTGATTAGAAACATAGCAACAATTGGGCCCACAAAAAAATGCAATTAAACCATTACGCTACTAGAGAAGTGAAACGTGTGTGGTGTTTGGTTTGCCAAATGCCAATTCCAGTTCCTTTTGGTTGTTTGCTATGAATATTCATTGAATCAACAATTCAATGTGTTTGGAGACCCTAATTGTCACTATGAATGGAAAAAGAATTCCTCCCTCTGGAGGTTGAAATTGATTTTCTTGCAAAATGGTGATTGATTTGGTACAAATGGTGGGACATACGAAACATCTTCATGTTTGTGTTTATTTCTGATTGCCGAAACCACTTTCAAATAGATGTGGTGTGATAGTTCAGTAATAGGATATGTGCTAAGGCTCATGTTCGAATCCTCATTCCATTAGTCAATTACTTTAACCTAAAAAAAAAAAAAAATCAACGGCTTTCACATTGAATGGATCAATTTTGACTAGCCACAATTTTTTATTTTTAAATATATCTTAAATGATCCACATGTTAGTTAGCTCACTTTAGGTCATGTTTATGCTAGTCCACTATTTTCAAGTTCAATATAGGACCATACACCTTTCTGTCCAATAAATTGTTTAAGCAATTACCAATATATGCATGACCACAATTTGTCTTAAGATCATATTTTTAATCTTTTAGGTAACCAAGAATTAGGAGGGGATAACGGAAGGGAAGGAAAGGAAAAACTAAATCAATGTGGACCTTTCATTCCCTCCCTTTTTTCAATCTCTAAATATTGAAAATTCTATTTCTAATGAAAGAAAATTAGCAATAGAATATGTAGAGGACGTTAAAATTTCCATATTTTGCTATAGAAGGCAATGTTCAACAAACTTCTAGGGATTTCTTAATGAGGAAAAGAGAAACTTCCTAGAGATAAGGGAATAAAACAACACTTATTTTCAAATAATAAAAGGGTCTGTTTAATTTATAATTCAAGAAAATGGTTCTAAAAACACTCGTAAAATCAAAAATTATTTTCAAAAAATTATAAAAGACAGTTATCTAAATATAAACCTTTATTTAACTGAGTTTCAAAATATATTCTTAAAAATTGTTAACTAGGCATATTTTTATATAATTTTTTACCAAGCGTAATAGCATAATTGACGACACCCAACTAATCTGCTGTCTCACATAATTATGAAACCCACCATAACATCATAACATATGAGTGATAGGACTAATGGGAGTGGTGTTAATTTTGAACATTCTAAGTGGGCCTAATAGAGTAATAGATAGTAAGTCATTGTCTGCATTGTTCTATTAGAGACTCATGGAATGGTCGGACTTAATGGGCTGCTATTGCCCGATCCAATAAAGATGAGAATATTAGTTACCAAAAAGAGGGACGAAAAAAGAAAAGAAAAAAGAGAAGGTCCATTTGACATGCAATTGATTTAGCCACAACTTCTTGGATAAAGGTCCATTGATATCTATTATGTGGTTCATCATGAATTTACAAAAAGTGGCCTCTTTTAATATATACTAATGGTTAATGGTCCTTCTATTTCAAATTTGGAATTGCACTAAATTAGTGATAATATACATATTAAATAAGATTGAATAACACTTAGGGTGTAATTTTTTTTTTAGGTAAAAAGGGTAAGCATTAGGGTGTAATTGGTTGCATGGAGTTGAAGTCTTGAAATTAGAATTTATAAAATTTAAGAAAATTAGTTCAATTTTCTTAGTTATTTTTATAAAATTTCACAAATTCCAATATCAAGACTCCAATATTTCATGCATCCGAACACACCCTTAAAATATTACAGCCAATTAAAACTAAAGTATTGCGAAAAAAATTTGTCTAAATGAAAGAATTACCAATTTCTAATGCACATAATAATGGAGTAAGAGAACTGGATTAATTAGAGGGACCAGAGCTAAATGTTGCTCCTAACATCAGAAATTTTGATGCATTTCCATGTACATGTGGTACTACAATTGTTATGAACTCAATTATGTGAAAGAAACAAATACATTTTCCTTTATCACTCTATTCTTAGTCTAATTAATATAATCTCTCATTTCTAGAAGAGAAGGTAAGGGATCGAGTCTAATAGTGGATATTTATAGGAAACTCGCAGGTTTTGTAAATATTTACCTAACCAATAAATAAATAAAAAATTCCCTTTTCAAAAATAATGTTAAAGGGCATTACTAAGTGACCTAATTAGTAAAGTACCAGCTTCCCAACCAGGTATGCACACGTTCGAATCTCTTTCATTTGCCACGATAAAAAGAATAAAAAATATAAATAAAGTTAGATAAAGAAACCGAGTTCTCAGCAAACCAAAGTTTAAGCCCAACTCAATAAAATCTTTTCTTTGCAACTTTTTCTGTTTACTTTTGGAACACTCCCTTTCTCTTTCTCTTTCTCTTTCTCTGGGATAGGATTTTTTTTGTGGTGGATAGAGTATTTCCTCAAAAAAATTTGAATTTAAACTAGTGGGTGTTGGATGGAACGACCTTGAAATTAAACACCAACCACTCGTTTCAATCGACCAGAGCTACCAGCCAAATTCATACTCATCCTCCCTCTTCCACCAAAAAAACAGCAGAAAAAATAAATATAAATAAATGCACACTCCCTCCATGCCTCTTCCTCTCCCTCTACCCTCTCCACCAACCCTACATTCCATGGCCAAGAATATACTGGAATAACCCCATCGGCGCTCTCTCTCTCTAACTCTTCTCTCTCCTATTTTCCAATCTAGTTAGTACTCATGACTACCTCTTACTGTCTATCTTCTTCAAGAAACACAATAAAACCACAGTCATTCCTCCATAACTCTCACCTCTATGTCCCCAATTATCGCTCTCCTCTGTTAATACATGAATCCCACTTCCCCAAGAGAGATTCACTCACATTTAGGCCCCACCCATTACAATCTAAACCATCTCCTCTCTCACTTCTAAGATTAAAGACCACTAAATCCACACACCCTTTTGCCGCCTTATCGTCTTTTGCCGGAGCTGATGGAGAAGAAGGTGAAGAAATCAAAGCCAAACAAGAACAAGAACAAGAAGAAGATGCCAATTCTGATGACTTGCAAGGAATGGCACAGGCTTTCCACATATCTGCTCGCACTGCCTCTGCTATATCTATATGCATAGCATTTGTGGCTCTCACTTTCCCATTTTTCATGACGTCTTTGGGACAAGGGTTGGGGTTGAAGAATAAATTGTTGTCCTATGCCACTCTGTTGCTGGGGTTTTACATGGCTTGGAATATTGGGGCAAATGACGTTGCCAATGCCATGGGGACCTCGGTGGGTTCCGGGGCCTTGACAATCCGGCAGGCCGTCTTGACAGCGGCGGTGCTGGAGTTCTCCGGTGCACTGCTGATGGGGACACATGTGACCAGTACAATGCAGAAGGGGATTCTTGTTGTCAATGTTTTTCAAGGGAAGGATACTTTGCTTTTTGCTGGGTTGCTCTCTTCTCTTGCTGCTGCTGGTACTTGGTTGCAGGTGCATTTCTAATTCCTGTGTTTATTTTAATTTATTTTTTTTATTTTTTTGTTATGCAATTCTAAACTTTAATTTATGTGTTTATTTAAATTTTTTTTGTTTTTGGATTTATCTTAAGTAGTAATAATTAAGGTAATAGTGTACCTAATACTTAAATAAAAAATGAAATCCTCAGTTTGTCGAAGGTTTATGAAACAAAGACAATTTTTTTTATTTATTTATTTTTCAAATGGTTAGGATAGAAGAAAACTTACTCACTCAAAATTTTTAACATATTCCAGCATGTTTTAAATTTCAACATGTGAAACCCATAATCTGGAATGTGGTAGATCTTCGGTTATTCCGGTAGTTCTTCTCTGTTTAATGAGCATGAATATGCAATTGAAATCTGTATTGTTAAAAACTTACTTTTGGTAGATTACTGTAAGTTTGAGTACCTTTTGAGAAAACACCAAATTGTTCAATCAATTTTCTATACGGAAGTTATATCAGCTAGACAACCCAAATATAATAGATAATTATAGAAGGTAATACATAAAGAATATTGAAAAAAAATATGCAATGCACATTAACACTACTTGTTAGTGGCTCATCTTTTATAGCTTATCATTACAAATGAAAATCTAAGCTTATATATAGGCATTCTCCTCCCTAATGGACTCTATTCTCTTTAACATTCCACGTAAATATCTTAGATATTTACAAACTCAACATAACTCCCTACTCTTCTGGAATATTTTTTAATCTACCAACTTCGACAAATATTACAATGTTCTAGAATTCTCCAATTTTTCTCTACGCTACTTCGCAATCTCCACATAAATCCTGAAGTCTTAGAACTTAAATCTCTTCATGCCATGAAGACATTATGCACAGTCCTCCTCAGCACTCGTGTGTCACCTGCGTAGCGCAACCTCTCTACAAATAGGCGGGGCATAACATACTATTGATATCATAAAAATTATGTGATCCTCCTGTTCTAGGTTCAATAATATTCGCAAGACTCAAAGAATGAGATTTAGATAGTAGCGCTCCATAGCTTGGGAGTCAAAGATGCTCATCATTGGCTCCAACCTAAGCACTTGACAGTTTGCACTCTTTATGGAATTGATGAATGTTTTGCTTATACTGATGTTTAGGTTGTTTCCTAATAAACTTCTCATTGAATTCACTTGACTACTATTCCACAGTATTATAAATTTTTTGTTCATTATAAACGGCTTAATAAGATACTCATTATGATATTTAATTGGCTAATTGTGCCGTGTCCAGTTTTCTAACCTGTGTTCTTTTCAATTTATTAATTACTAACCTTGTATAAGACAAGGAGGAAGCTAATGTCAATAAGTCTTGTCTTATGACACACTGTACTTGGGATATTCGGGGATTTGATGGTGAGAATTTTTTGGAATAAAAATCAAGTTGTATGGAATCATAGTCTCGTCTAAAACTAGGAGAGGTTGTGCCAGATCACTGCATCATGTATTAACCATTCGCTATGGTCCACAGTGAGAGTACATTCCTAAAAATTCAAATGCAAAACCCTAGAAAATGCTTACATCAAATAAATAGTGCAGTTTCCTAAGAAGCACGGACACGGACACGGACACGGATACGGGATACGGATACGACACGACACGGACACGGCGACACGGCAAATCCAAAAAAATTAAGACACGGACACGGACACGGCGAATAGTATATATATGATGTAGTACTTTTTTTGGTTTAGAATTTTTAATTCTCAATTCGGCTTCTTCAATTGCTTTTTGCATTTCTTCAATATTCTGAGATGTGACTTTTGGGCATATACGAATACCCATACCAGTGTTCTGCAACAAGTGGGCTTTAACTCTTGTATAAGACCCCCTGAATTCATTATTACAAAAGTGGCATTTGAATAAAAAATTTCCTCCTCCACCACCAATTTTTTCTAATTGTGACATAATTCCAAAGTGGTTTGTTCTCATCTTGTTTGAATTGAGGAGTACTAGTAGCAACTGATGTAGACAATGACATCGACATGTCTAATTTCCTAGACATAAAAAGAAAAGAAAAAAAAAATCCATACTTACAGCAGTCAGCAAAGAAAGAACAGTCAGCAAAGAATGAATAAATTCCTATTTGATCACAGATTCACAATTCATATGCAACAGCTGAAATAAAATCAAAGATGAAATCCTATTAATTTACAGGTCAATAAGTCACAGACTCACACCGGCTGAAATTAAAGCAAGAATAAAGACAACAGAGAAGAAGAAGAAGAAAGAATTTAGGAAAGAAATTGAGGTCTGTGAAAAAGGAAAAACACCGGAGAAGAAGAAAGAAAGAAAGACGGGTTTGTGAAAAAAAATAATAATAAAAAAGAAAGAAAGAAGAAGAAGAAATTTGGGGTATGTGAAAAATGAAAAAATAAAGAAGAAGAAAGAAACTGGGGTTAGTGAAAAAGGGTTGGGGGGGGAGGGAGAGAGATAAAAGAAAAAGAAAGAATCTGGGGTTTTAAAAAAGGAAAACGAAAAAAAACAAGATGAGGAAGAAAGAAAGAATCTGGGTTTGTGAAAAAGGAAAACGAAAAAAAAAAAAAGATGAAGAAGAAAGAAAGAAACTAGGGTTTGTGAAGAAAAAGAAAGAAAAGAGGAAGGAGGAGGAAGAAAAGAGGAGGAAGAGGAGAGAGAGAGAGAGAGAGACTGACCTGGAGGCTGGAGGGAGTCGCTTTGATCGGCAGCAGGAAGTTGCAAAGCTTCGTCACTTTGAGAGAGAGCAACCCGTCCTTTGAATCTCATCTTGTAATAGTGTAATGAGTAGCCTTAAATATCTATTTCTTTTGTTTAAAATTGCATAGTAACCTTGAAAGTTTAAAATTATTATGTTTTGACCACATAAGTAAGTAAAACTTATTAAATAACTTCATATATTTATACTTTAACCTAACTTTCTTTCAAAAATTATCTTTTAAACCCCTAAAAATAAGACACGCGTGTCGGACACACACCCCTGGCGTGTCGAACGCGTGTCCGCAGAGTGTCCGTGCCGTGTCCGAAAATAAATAAAAAATAAAAAAATTCCAGACACGTTTTTTGGCGTGTCCGACACATGTCAGGGCGTGTCCGACGCGTGTCCGTGTCCGACACGTGTCGGACACGGATTCTTTGCCTATTTTGGAGTGTCCGTGCTTCAGTTTCTTAGTTTATATACTCTTTATTCTTCATTCTATGGTTCTGACTTTAATGGTCCTTTGGGGATCCAAACAATCTAGATTCCCAAAGACATGACCAATCTATAGTCTTTTCACCCTCTTTGCCAAGAAATCAGACAAAAAAAAGTTGCCCAAGCATGTCCATTATCATGTTTTAACCTATTCGCATGTTCAGTTTACACATGCATAAAGAACATCAATAACAGCTAAAAACCATGGTTCAATTATGCTTGCACATCTCTTCTGATACTCTTATGGTTCGTTTGGTAGGAAAGAATAAAGTGGTGGAGGAAAAATAAGAAGGAAGAAACAAACTTCCTTCGTTTGGTAGGGAAGACACTAGTAGGGAATAGAAAAGAGGATGGATGAGTCATCCTTCCTGCTTCACAAATTTTTATTTCTTCAATTATGAACAAAGAGAAGCAAGACTATTAAGAAAAATTTAAATTAAAATATTATCCTTAATAGTTATTAGATAAACCAATATTGACAATGTCTCTCATCTCTTCTCTCTTAAGAAACAAAGTAAAGTTGTTACCTCATTCACTTCTCTTCCATCCAACCAAACAAAAAGAAGGAAGGAAGTTATCCTTTTCCAAACAAAAAGAGGGAAGGACGTTATCCTTTCCCCAAGGATGTCTCGTCCATCTCTTCTTTTCTTCCATCCATTCAATTTTCTTCCTTCCTACCAAACGAAGCATTAAGGTATCCATTATCCAACATCAAAACAAAGGCAGAATTTTTCACTTCAGATGCTTACTATACAACCTCGTGTTTGCTTAATAGCAACCTCTTCCTTCTCCTCTTTCTTGGTATATATTTGAAGAAAAGGAGGCTGTATATCTTCCTATTTAGTCATCGGCATAGGCAATGTAATGTTTAACTTACATACAAAGATCGATAAGAAAAGGTCCTGAATTATACAGGAAGAATTTGTTGACAGTTCTACCTAGGAGAAGATTCTCTGTATCATGACGGAAAATTTCATGTTGGAAATCTGACTCTTTGATGCATAGCTTTTGACATGAAACCAACTAAATCTAATTTTTCTCCTAAGGTTTATGATTTGACATTTGTTATAGTTTGCTTAACAATCTGAATTCTACATTATCTCTTTTCTTTTTTTACTAACCACTAATGATTTATCATGTGTTATTCAGGTGGCTTCATATTTTGGTTGGCCTGTCTCCACTACTCACTGTATTGTAGGATCCATGGTTGGATTTGGTCTTGTCTATGGGGGAGCTGGTGCCGTCTTCTGGACTTCACTGGCAAGGGTGACTTCGTCGTGGGTTATTTCACCTTTAATAGGAGCACTGGTGTCATTTCTTGTATACAAATGCATTCGCAGGGTACGTTCTGCCATAAATCCAATACATTTATGGTAAACTGTAACACTTTGCCTGCTTATGGCTTGTGAGAAGCATATGCAAGAACGGCGAAAATTATGTTAATTGGCTAGAAAATCACAAGCCATAAGTATGGTGGCATGATTTGAGAGTAAACTACTTAGCACTAACAATGAAAGATAATCAACTTTTAGAATGTCCTAAACTCGAAAATTTTATAAACTCGATAATTTAATCCCTAACTTATCCTTTACTATTTCTAGTTTGTGTACAGTGCTCCAAATCCAGGACAAGCAGCTGCTGCAGCTGCACCAATTGCAGTTTCTGTGGGAGTTACCGCAATCTCTTTTGCAGCCTTTCCTCTTAGCAAGACACTTCCTATTGCTGCGGCTCAGGCTTTAGGCTGTGGCATTGTTGGTGCAATCCTAGTGTACAGAATTATCCACAAACAGCTTGGTCACCTCCTTGTCAAGGCCAATTCAACAGAACCAGAGCAACAGGAGCATAACTTGTCCAATAAAAACGTCGGGTTTCTCACTGAAGTGGCAGGCCCTAAAGGCACCCAGCTGGAAATAGTTTATGGAGTCTTCGGCTACATGCAAGTCCTCTCAGCCTGCTTCATGTCCTTTGCCCATGGTGGAAACGACGTCTCCAACGCAATAGGCCCTTTGGCTGCTGCATTGTCTATCCTCCAGGGCGGCACAAGTGGAGCTGAGATAGTCATTCCCAATGATGTTCTTGCCTGGGGAGGATTCGGGATTGTTGCAGGGCTTACAATGTGGGGGTACAGAGTGATAGCAACAATCGGAAAGAAGATAACAGAATTAACGCCAACTAGAGGATTTGCAGCCGAGTTTGCAGCTGCTTCCGTGGTTTTGTTTGCATCGAAGCTTGGACTGCCCATCTCGGCAACCCACACGCTGGTGGGTGCAGTCATGGGGGTGGGGTTTGCCAGAGGACTCAACAGTGTTAGAGCAGAAACTGTGAGGGAGATTGTGGCTTCTTGGGCTGTGACAATTCCTGTGGGTGGTTTGTTGGCTGTTCTCTACACATGGATCTTAACCAAGCTCTTGTCATATGTACTGTGAGAGAGTACATTTAAATAGATCAGAATGACAAACAGTTTGATGCATGCAATTAATTAAAGAACACTCATCTTTTTGTAAAGTGTTTCGTTATACGACTAAATTTCCTTCGCCTAGAGTGGTTTCCACAACAGGAAATTACTGTATTTTGAAACTGAGAAAGTAAAATTGTTGTTCTTGCTTCTGTGGAATTTAAAATCCTTTCTTTTCTGCTCAATTTATACCCTAGAAATTCATATTGTATACACTCTAAATACATCTAAGGAGATCTAATCTGGTTAAGACTATATATATATATATCTAGGAAAACTTTAATGAAAGGAAAGCAATTCCATTTACAGAGATTTCTCTAAGACTCTTAACTACTATGTAGTGTGTGTAAGGAGTCAGGACACCATCTGATATATATATATATATATATATATATATATATATTTATTTATTTATTTATTTATTTACCTAAGCAGAATATCATTAAAACCAGAGAACAAGATACAATAAACAAGAAGGGCATACCTTCCAGACTACAAGATAAGAACTAAAAATACCATTTCATGAAACTAGCCAACAAGGAAGAAAATATACTACAAGATAAAGAAATAAAAATACCACTTCAAGAAAGTAGCCAACAAGGAAGAAAATATACAAGGGAAATAGACCAGACTAAGACAATAAGAAAAACCAAAAAAGTCCACTCCACAGCCTTAACATTCTGAGGAGGAAAAACCACTGAGAAAACCAGCTCAAGCAACCATGCCATCCATAATTGAAATCCCAGTATATCAGAGACTTCCCAAATAATTTTTCTGGCAATCCGAGCAGCATTAAGGGAAATAGCATTATGTAGAGTTTGATGTGGTACACGTTAGAAAGCCCCGAGCAAATGCTAAGTTCAGAATGATGTAGGAATGGATTGGTTCTTCGAATGGGTTCTCGTATAAGGTCTTGAATTATAGAGAATTGCTCATCAAACTAAACTACAACAGGACTGGTACATGTTAGAAGGCCATAGGACATTGCAATTGCTAGTGTAGATGGAAAATGCTGGATCTAAGTTTACTGCAACACTGCAGACTTTCTTGCCTTGCGTATTGTGGCCTCCATTGTGTTGAGACACAATTGATACCTCTGAAACACCAATTCATGATTAAAACAACAGAAAATTGCTCTTCTGAATGCAGGATTGCAACTAGAATTGTGAACAGAACCAGCAATGCCATATCTCGGCAGGTGAACACCATCTCCTTGAAACGCATAAACCAAAAAGACTACTTTAAGATCATTTGATGCATCTAGTGTCACATGGTTCAGGAATGGTTCAAATGCAGATTGCTAGTTCTGAGTTTCCAGGGATCCAGAGAAGCACATCATAGGTTTATTCGACCAATTTGAGTGAAATCATATATACTGTATCAATCATCATGTGATGATAGATGAACAAGACATCTTATCTATACTAAATAGGACCAAAACGAATCTTCCTCGATCTTTCATGTATATCTAACTAATCATAGAACTTCAAGATAGTTGAGACAGTCAACAATGAAAACTAGTTAAATATAGTAATCAATTCCAACAATTAAAAATAATCCAAAAGAATCAATAATTATTAAAACGGGTCCTCTAATCTAGAATACAAGGCCATAAATAGAACACAAAAATTAAAAGAGTGAAAAAGGAGTTTTATTCAAGCAACTTACCCATGTGGGTTTCTCTGTTATCGACAAACAGAGATAAGTGGTTCAACTGCATAAAGGTTTTTACAAACCAGATGATACAGTAGTGTGAACCATCAAGTCTTGTGTAAAGGAGAAAGTCATGGAGAGAGCTCTTGTATGGAAGTTAGGCTGGGTTCCCAACTCAAGTCCCTCCACATTCTTGGATTCTGGATGGGGGGTGTAAATCCCTTCTTCACTTTTCGGTGTGTTTTGCCTGCGCATTCAGACCACATTTCTTTAGAGACAGAGAAATCCTTTGCTGAACAAACAGACTCATCTGACCAATCTACACTTGCATCCGAATCAGTTTTCTGATCAAACATTGCTTCTTTGTCTTCAGCAGATTCTTTTACTTTCCCCTTCTGTGAGTGTTTGCGCTTCAGTTTCTGTACGGTAGTAGATGGGATTATGAAATATTTGTGACCAGGCAACAGCATATCTTCTGCCACCAAAACAGCTTCATGTGGATTCTTGAAGACTTGTGGCCGAGCAACAAACATCCCTGGATATTTTTCCATTAATTGAGATGCAGGAATCGCATTTTGATACTTCTCTTCTCGCCCACCTGCATGGATTATCCTTACAGTAATATCCTTCAATTGTACGCTAAAGTCCAATGAAATGGCAGCCTTTCCAAACTCTTTCTTTCTTCTGGATTCCCTGTTGATGCACCGGACTAGCCCAACAAATGAACACATCTCTCTAGCATGGCCAGCAACCAAAAACCCCCACAATGCATTATAATTCAATGTCACGGGGAATGGGGAATATGAAGCTATATCAATATACTAAACTTCCCATTAAATTTCTTTTGTATTTCATGGCCGGCTCTCTTTCTCTTTTTCCAGCTTATTTCCACATAAAGCCAGTGATAAATCCAAGGTTAGCAGGAAGGTTATGTCAGCTAAAGGAATCATCTTTCTTTGTACTCTTCTACTCCTCGTGGAATCCAAAGTGAGCCATGAAGGGAACATAAAAAAATAATTTAGCTAGCATCGATTACGTTTCAGAAATAACTTTTGAATTTGTTCTTGTGCCAGCTTTGCCAACACATCCTTGTGCTAATATCATAAGCCCACAGGCCAGACAACACCTGGCGTTCCAGCTTCTTCTTTCTCCCACTGATCCAGTTGTTATGGAGAATAAAACATCCCTTCTTCATACAGGCTTCTTTCACATCATTTTCCTCCCACAGGCCTTGGTATGCACCATTCGGGAAGAGGTTTCTGTCCAGGAAATGAACAGTCAGTTTCGTTTCAGGTTCGAAGCATCTGTTAGCACCCACACGATTGGACCCACCTTCCCCACATAATGTGTCATAAAAGCTTGGCTGCTCTGAAAGATTGGAAGTGGCTGCATGCATCACCACCTTTTCCAATGCTGTAATTGTTGAACCATCTGAATGAACATAGTAGAAGCCAGAATTCAAGCGACGTGGTAAGTTTATAGGTCCTGCAGATGAGATATCAAGAGTTTCAGCACCGGAGTTCTAGAGTTTAGCCCCATATTATCAAGGAAAACCAAATGGAGGATTCCAAAAATATTGTCCTGTGCTTGTAAACTAAAGCTAATCAATTAATGTTCTACTTTTATGCAAAAAGGAAAAAAGATCAAATAAGAACGGATTAACCAAAATCAAGGAGATGGAGCTAATGCTCCTACTCATCCAGTCTATTAATTAATCATTCGTTTTCATTAATTGGTCATCTAAAGCTATAGTAATGCCATCAGAAAAATAATTAGTTTTTAAATGTAGGTTTGGAATAAACACCTGTGGTGTTGTACTCATCAGACTGTGCCACGAGAACCGCACTACCGTAAGAATAAAGCAGTGGCAATGGATTTTTAAACCAATATACATCAACATCACTCAAAAGCACATTGTAACCCAGCTTCAGGATCTGCAAAACCACTCTGGACTTTACTTTGGTCACTCTCTGAAAACATTTTGTTCCAAAGTGGCAGTCATTAAAGCTGACGTTGGTTGGAGCAAATGAATCCTTGAAAACAGGCAGGCCCTAGCAGAAAATATACCCCAAGTTCAGAGAGAGAGAGATTTAAATTGAAGAAGAATGGACCAATGAAAAGCAAAACCAAGATAAATAAGGTATTCGCCATCTAGACCTTAAGGCTTTTGATATATGAATTGAAATTTAGAACGAGAAACGCCATTGGAACAGATTACCTGCAAGACACAGAAATCATAAATTTCCTGGTCAAGAGCACAGACCAAAAAATTTGAGATCATCAGGTGGCGCAGTCTGCAAACCCAGCTCATGAGCATGTCCTTGTAACTATATCCAGCAATTGCTAGCACGATTGTCTTATTCTGGTCTGCAAGCATTGAAAGGAGCAACTCTAAAGAGAATGGAAGAGATAAAGATGTTGAGGACTTCAACTGGTCCTTCACAGAGCAATCTCTAATTCCATTAAGTGATCTAAAACTTCTCCCAAATCCTGAGATTTTTCTACTCCTTAAGCTAACTGATTTCTGGTATCCCAATGGATAAACAATGTTTTCTGCTGTGTTCACAAAAACATATTGGCCATCGCACTTAAAGAATTTAACCAAGTTGGAATAATTAGCTTCATGGAAATACAATGATCCATACAGCACCCCCAGATGGGAATTCCCCACATTCTCCCAGTTTGTCTTTCCAATATCTGAAATGTCAGAACCTTCAACCAATTGATGAGACCCATGATCTAGATCTTGGAGATAGAAATTTGATGTGGTCAAACTGGCGTCAAATACAAACCTATAATCAGACGACAAGGCCTCATTAATGACCCAATGGTAGTGGAGCCCCTTTCCATACAAGAAAGGAGGGAGGACTCCAGTATGTAAAGGAATATCCCCGTTGTTCCATGCCATAAGCATCCTCCCTTCACAACGTTTCCATTGCCAAATGTGAGCAAGAATCCCCTGCAACTGGTGGAATAGAGTTCAGTTTTAATAGATGTTGTCCAATGAGCCATCTACTCCAAATCTTTATTAGGTTCCTTCATACCTTCTGGGTTTTAATCCGTTTACCATCCTCCGCTAACCATTGTTTCCCATCTGCATCCAAGTGAAATGGGTAGTAGGAAGTAGACCGCGACGAAGCAACGAGGAGCCAATCTCTGTCAAGTTTGTAAGCATAATTCAGAGTGGTAATGAAGTCTGCCAAAAGAATGGTTTCAGGATCGATCAGAACAGAAATATCTGATGTGGATGCCTGTGATCTTGCAACCATTGAATGAAAAAATGGGGTATTCATGAACCTAAACAGAAATGGACATGGATCAGAATACTTGTGGATTAGTTGGTTCCCCTTTTAAATTCAGCAAAAATATTTTAATTATTTTTATAAGACACCAACAAAGCAGCAACACATCACATTTAATCACAGCTTCTTTCAAGTAGACGTTGTGTCAAGTTGGTCTAAGATCATGTAGCCTCTCAAACATTTTGATTTTGCATTATGTACATGGTAACAAGCACAGTTCATCCAACATCTTCAATGGTTACATTTCCAGAATAAAATTTTAGATTAAACCAAGGCATACAAGGAATTATCTCTATATATTCAAGTGGAAGCAGTGATGAATGAACTCCAAAATACTACTAAGCAGTAACTATATAGTTCTTCAATAACACTAGTTCAAATTCTTTCTTCATCAACTTCTTTCATATCATTGTAAAACGTATCTACTTTATGTTCTCAAGCTTTATAATACCTCATCCTTAATCTCTATGCACCATCATCTGTTATTTCAAATTATGACAATACATTGTGAGCAAATAAAATCAGCCCATCCATTCTCTCATCCATGCGTAGGGAGCTACACGGTCTAGAAAGATTTTTTTTTAAAAAATTTACTAGTTATCAATCATAATTTCTTGTCTGCTAATTGATGGACAAATAAAAAGACAAATGAAAAAAAAAAAAAAAAAAAAAAGGGCCCACCAATTAGCTAGTTGAAAAAGGTAATACTAACATATATTGAGTTACAATGTTTAAACCATCAGGTAGATTGACCAATGACCATCTGATGGTCTGAGTATAAAATGCTACCAGATTGACAACTAGGGCAAACTTTTCATTATCATGTGAGTTCGACTCCATTCAAGTGAACGCTATCACTATCACATATACAAAATAAATCATGATATTTATAAGCGTAGAGGCAACAACTTTTCCATTCAAATGCAAGACCAGATGAAAGTCGTCATGTATAGAGAACTGCTATTAACATTTAAATTTATTGCCAAATTAAGCAAAATCAAAGAAACTAATGTTTATCTGGTGATATTTTCAGAGATGTTTTTGTTGCTTAGACATTATGCTGGATGTTCCAGCACAGCCCTTTCCATTGGTGCGACCTTAAAGTCTGTCTTTTATCCGAGTGACAAAATTGAAAATTTCAATTATGTCTTTCAATAACGAAATGTAGTCTCTTTCTGGATTGCAAATCCCCAATCTTGTGAACAACAGGTAAAAAGTATTACAGACATGCTATACATAATTTTTAACGACTGCACTAATATGCCTTTTTTTTTTTTCTCAATCAAAACAACACATTTAAGAGCCTCACAATTAAAGCATTTGTCTTTAACCAATAACTTTAATCAGATTAATCTAACAGTCTAAAATCAAAATTATCAAATAAGAATGACCCTCCATAACATGCTTAGCAAAGAATTCAAGAACAAGCTTAAGTCCTTACGTGAAATCGATATTGGGTTCGACCGAAACCCTAGAACCAAGAGCACCTGCAAAAGAAACAACAGAGGGGTCTTGGCTGAACAGAACAACAGTGATATCAGGGGACAAACCAAGCCATGATTTCACAGCCAGAGACTGCCTTGCCCCATCTGAACCAGTGAAAGGTCTGGGAGCTGTAAATATGGTAATCTTTGGACTACCCAAATCACCAAAACCAATTTCAAAAGCTTTGGGGTTTTTGATATCATCAGTAAGAGAAGAAGGCAACTTCTGAGTGGCATAGAAGGAGACACCAATCAAGAGAAGCCCAACTAGCCAAACCCACCATAGAACAGCTTGAAATGCCTGTAAATCAAGAACAATATAAATACTAAATAAATATGAATATTTTATATACATATAACCAAAAAGATGAAAATGGTTTGAAATGATGACCTTTTTGTTGTAGCAGAAGGGAGAGGATAGAGAAGAAACTTTCATTTTTTTCCTCTTGCTGAAAGAGAGAATGGAATGAGTATGGGTTTGATTTATATTTAAAAGTGAGAGAGGGGAACTTTAACGGAAAGTAGGTAAGGGAGACGTGGTGCCAACCCCACCACCTCCACCACAAAGAACGCCGCCGCGAAGGGTGTCAGACATGTGAGGTTTGGCGTCATGCAAACGTCAGTGCGCATTGAAGTCACCATTTCAACACTTCTTTATAGATTTGAATAATGAATGGAAAATTGCTCTCTAAATCAGAATGGTGGAGGAAAGAGAATTGTACAAAAATGACATTTTTTTAATACCGTTTTGAAATGTCAGTAAAAAAATTGGTTGCTTTGTGAGATCAGTTCATCTATGAAAAGTTACTGTGTTGACAGACGAACAACTCTAATTGTTAAGTTTGACAGACGAACAACTCTAGTTGTTTAATGGTTTATTTGAGCTATGATACGAACGACGCACATTGTGAGAGAAGAAATAATATGAGGTTGAACCCAGAGACGTGTTTCTTTGGAGTGTACAGTTTTTGAGATACATTGTGAATTGCAGTTGAAGAGTAGGGTCATCTCAAAATTGTCAGACAACGCCCTGTTTTACTCGTATTATTATGACATCAACCTTAGACTGCCAAAAATACATATCATTTTTTCTTGTTATTTTTTGGGGACTATTCAGCATAGCAAAACGTAAGCGTGTCGCTTACAAATAATAATAATCATAATAGTAACATCTCCTGCGGCGTAGTATGTAACTCCAAAACTTGAGAAGTTGGTGATACAAGCTCTAAGACTTGAAACGTTGGTGATACGAGCCTTCGGCACAAAGAGACCCCAACTCACCATGTTGCATCAAGTCAACATTGATTTCTTTATGTTTGACACCAGATTTCGTGTAATTAAACCAAGATAGAAGGAGAGGCAGAGTGTCCGTCCAGTTAGAGGGGCGGCAAAAATAAGTCATACAAAGTAAGAACGGAGCGGAAGCAAGTACCATGAGAGAACAGTAGCAGAAGCACGAGAGCAGGGGAGTGTGAAAGCATCACCTGCTCACAAGAATTTGTATGAATGAGTGTGCAACTATCATTCAGTACCCCTTGAGATAAAATCAAAATGAAAAACACAGAGAACCACCTTAACAACCCACGTTACATGAAATTCCGCCTAACATTTGGTTATTTACTCACAAGAAGCAGTGCCAGGATCACCTTCACCTTTTCTCAGCTTCGTCGTAAAGGAAGAATAGGCTGTAGCACCCTCACATAACACTAAAGTTCATAGTTTCCCAAAAACACCAGTTATGCGAGTAGTAACAAGAACTTCATGCCAAAACATATATATACGTAGATGTATATATGTAGATATGCATACACACACATATCAATTAAATCACACCGCAGTCCAACTAAGCATAGCCAAAAACGGCTGTTTTTCTTCCTCGGGGTTTTGGTACTTGAAAACTAAAGTATCCACCTCGGATCAAATTGCACATAGATTGTCAAGGTACGAAATGTCGGGACTGCCAATCGAATTCTGATATACTGGCATGAATTTATGGCAACAAGAACTCAGAAGTACAGTCTTATTATGCACCTAAACTTAAAAAGTTGAACCAGAGTTGCTGGTTCAAACCATTTTCTTGCCTTCCACACAAACAGCGGCCACTATATCTGCAAGACATTGAACTTTATCCGTACAAGGACACCCTCTCTCTCTCACACTACCACGTGAAAGAAAGTTGGCGAGAGAAGTAAAGAAGAAACTACAGAACAAAAAATAAAATAAAATAAAGAAAATCCCAAAAAAGAAAAAAGAACTGTCAATGCAGAACATACAAACTTCAACAAGAATGTCAACGTCCAGATACAAGCTACAAGCATCATCGCGTTGCCTTGAATGTACATTCCAAGCCTTTATCCTTGCAATTAAAATGCACACGGGACCCTCTTTTTCTAAACAGCACCAATCTGACATCAAAACCAAAATGCCCGCGAACCCTTCTTTTCCTCAACAGCAGCAATTTGACATTGAAATCGCTCTATTACTCGAATGCTATAGGGGCGCACATGTGAGGCCTCCATTTCGTTGCAATCAACAAAGAAACGAATCTCTAGCATTTCTAAGTTTGCATCATGTCAAGACACTGTTCTTTCCCATCACCTATGCCGGCGAACAGGTGACCTGGATCTCGACCTCCTTCCCCTGCAATTAGAATGGAACAGTCTATAAAATATGAAATATTTGTGGGCCAAAATCTAGGACCTTATGCTTTCACCTGACTTTCTTATTGTAATGATGATGGATGGTTACGTCTCAAAAACATCAACATAATCATAATCTTTCAGACCGTGTCGCAACATACCTGGTGGTCTCAAGAGAAGAGTAGGGAGAATGCCTGCGCTGAGAATGCCTGCTATGTGGAGACCGCGAAACTTGTCTAGAAATGAAAACACCCCATACTAAGCCAATGAGTTGAAATTATATATTTTGGGAGAAGAATGCTCAGCCTTCTATAAAGTCAAGCTTTATAAGAACTGGCCTGTTGGCATAAATTACGCTGCTTCTGATAAGATACAAGAGCATCTATGACTAAATACCACAAACTAACATCAACATACACACAGGAATCAAGACAATTTCTTCAAAGAAGGGAAAGTAAAAAAAAAAAAAAAAAATTCAGGCAATTAGCTGCACGTTGAAGCTAAGGATTCTGTTGGGATGACTAGAGAGTTCAGAAAGATACTATACATTAACGTACAAAATTTCCAAAAAAAAAGGAAGAAAAAAAGAAAAGAAGAAAAAGGAAGATGATTAGTTGATTGGACAATGAGATTACAAATCAAATCTCAAGTTATACAAAATCAATCCACAAGAAGATGTCAGCATGAATATAAAAATATCACTGAACACAAAAAATACTTTTCATATGACTGAACATAAGCTTGATTGATTATGCTAATGAGATCACAAAATCATCAAAGCAACTTAAGAACATGAAAATGGTATCATGGCCCAACCACGCCATTATCAACTAAATCATCAAAAGACTTAACAGGTATTGAAATATACTTGGATACACCCACTTTACCAATATATCATACCCAAAACAAATCTATTCTTTTATATTAAAAGGAGACGCCACTTGGTGTTTTTGGTGTGTCTTCACCTAAAATTGACGCCACTTAGCAACATTAGAGGAACTTCAGTAGGTGAATGGCAAGGAGCACATGCATCATGGATGTTCCCTTTAATGTCTTACTCCGCTACCATTATGTCATTAATATTATGGAAAGTAATTTGACCAAGTAAAGCATTAAAAAATAACCAAACGCATACTTAGGTCTCAAGCCATCAAGTTAAAGAAAACCAAATGAATGAGTCTAGGTCTCAAGCCATCAAATTCACTACTTCAACTATAAAGAATTCAAAGAATTCTCAATTATAAATGTGAAACTAGTACAAAATGAAAAAAGATTTCAAAGATTGATGAAATCATGATGCCTAGTATCCAGTAAAATTCAAAAACATGCACGTAAGTAGACAAAATGCATCATCAGGTGAAGCTTCATACCCTGAAGCATAGCATAACCTTCTCATAATTCAACTATATATATATATATACTTTTCAGACATGCAGCAGTGTCTAAGTATCACGACTTTAATGTGGTCATCCGACAAGTGCAAACTTACACAAGCCAGAAATGATTTGAATTAACTATCACACCAAAATACAGCAATGACATCAAGTCGAAAAGGAAGTATGCACGAAACTGGTTTTAAGCACCTGCACTAGTAAAATTTTAAAACACAACCTATTGATAACTGATAGTTTAGTATGTAGAGCAGCTTGAGTTTCTCACCTTTTTCACTTCCACAGGACATCAAATGAGAAATTATTTGTCACAAGATGAAGAAGAAATAATGGAATCTTACAGTTCCTCTGGAGTGAAATAGTTTTCATAAATTTCTAACGTTCCTTTCTTTTATATTTTTCAGTAAGTATTTTCCTTTTCTGAACCCCACTCTCTCTTTTTAGGTGTTATACCAACACTTTAGAAGGGTTATAAGCTATAACCTGGTGGCACTTCTTCACCTTCCAAAGTAGAAGGTCGAGGGTTCAAGTCCCTATAGGAATAAAGTGGATGTGCGAGTTTCAAATAGGGAAAAAATAAATTAATAAATCCAATAGCATATACTACAACATCCTTCAGATGTGTGTCTAGAATTAGAGTGGAGGCCTCACAACAAAGTGTAAAAAGAACCACTGCTAACAAGGGCTGAAGAAGTAGTCAAGGTAAATATTGCAAATTGTTCATGACCTCAAGGATAATCAAAATCAGAAAATAATTTGAGCAAAAATCACAAGTAAATGTATTTATCAAAAAAAAAAAAAAAATCACAAGTAAACTGTTATAGGATATTTTAGTAACAATTTATAGGAAACTTTCAAACAAGACTATAGGAACTTATGAATTTCATGACAACTCACGAACATTGGATAATCAAAATCAGAAAATAATTTGAGCAAAAATCACAAGTAAACTGTTATAGGATATTTTAGTAACAATTTATAGGAAACTTTCAAACAAGACTATAGTAACTCATGAATTTCATGACGAATTACGAACATTTTTAGAATTTGACTAATTATTGATCAGTTTAAGTCATTGTATATATCAAAGGCTACATGTTTTAACTTCTTTGGTTACATATTCAAAGTCTAATCATTTATATTCTAGACAAAGCTCTGTAATTAAGGAATTATCAAGAATGAAACCATATGCAAGAGCAGAGAGACGAGCTCATGCATTGGCCAGTACCACACGATTCCATCCATACAAAAATTAAAATGTGATAGAAGTATGGAAGACAAATCCCTCCACCATATGCTCTTTTTGAAAGAGTCCAGGTGGCTCTGGATCATTAACAATGAAACTGTTTTTCTGAGGAAGAAAACATGTGATGGCGTTTGGTTTGTCACAACCGTTTTGCCAACATTCAGCCCCCAAAACAGACCCCAGCCATCAGGTTGGACATATGTTCCTGTTGTGTACCACAACAAAGTGACAGGACAAGAGGTCACAATCACTAAAAACTCCAGATGAACAGTTTTGCTGATCCTACGTGACTGAATTTTCAAATGGGGCTCCACCAAAGGATGACATATGAAGTGTAGTTCAAGAGGCTCATATGCAATCATCTTTTCTCAAAACAATCCATATGCAAGTTGTTAGCATCATGGACATTCTTCTTCCTCAAGAATATGACACAGCCATCATACACAGAGATATAGATTTATTACAAGAACAAAAATGGTCAACTACCACGATTAGGATTTAACATTCACTTATAAAGAGCACAAGATGGATAATAAAGAATTTCTATAAATGATGTGTATGTAAAGCAGATATCGTTAAATACCCACAACGACATAATGATACAAGGAATTGACAATTCTGAGCATTCCTTGCTGCATGGCTGCGCTATGTGGTGTTTCAATTGGAAATTGAAATAAACAAAAGCTCTGAAGGAACATCTAAAGAACCTCTTAAATAGTGCATACGAAAATACACAAACACAAACAACAATTCTTGTAACCATAGTCACTTTATGTTTGCAGCTAAGAAACAAGAATATGACACAGTCTAGTCCACAGGACAATTCTCATAAAATTAGGACATAGCAAGGAACACAGCAAACAATAAATATATATTTTGTATACATACATCATAGAAACATAAGTACAAGTGTGCAGGTAACAAGTTTTTATAATTTAAAAGAGAAAAGTATACGAGTAGGTGTATTACTTCACTTGTTTAACCCAAAAAAAAAACAGGTGTTGTCTGCATAAAAGCAGGAAATCCTACTCGACAAATGTCTCCTCCTAAAAAAGTAACAACTTTGCTGCCTCTCTCTCTCTCTCTCTCTGTCTCCGTGCCAAGACCTAATCGAAACAAGTTGTGCATGTGATAAAAATGTATATTTATTGAAGATATAATGGAGGAATCAGTGGAGGAAAATCTTTCAATGATTGATGTCGTTTCCTATTATGGAAGATTTGGTGGTGTTACTAGAGGAATCAATGGAGAAAAATCCTCCTTGTTTCCTATTTTCTAATTCTTTCCATTCTCATAATTTCTTCTCCTATATAAAGAAGCCTCCACCATTGTATTGTATATGATTTGAGAGAGTATTATAAAAGTGATGTAGCCCTTTGGACTCTTTGTGCCGTGGATGTAGGCCCTAGTGGCTGAACCACGTAATATCTGTGTGTTCTACTCGTTTATTCCTCTTCGTTTCCGTTTTATGCTTTTCAACATGGTATCAGAGCCTAATTTTTCTTCCTAGATTCGGACCCTATTTTAGGATATTCCCTTAGCATCTGAAATGTTGCTAAAGGTTTCTTGGTGCTATTTGTGACTTGTTTGGGCTGCCGATTTGTTCGGCAATAATGTTTTTCGCCTTTGTTGTGTCTCCGACAGTTTTTATCAACTTGTTTGGGCCGCCAATGTGTTCGGTAGCATTGTCCTCACCTTTGCTGTGTATTTGGTAGTCTTTTGTTAACTTGGTTGGGCTGCAGGTGTGTTCAGTAGCATTGTCTTCGTCTTTGCAGTGACTCAGACAATTTTGATCGACTTGTTTGGGCTGCCGGTGTGTTCGGTAGCATTGTTCTTCGTGTTCTCTCTTTCCCCTTTCATCATTCACAATTATTGTTACTCGTCATCTCAATGGCAAGTTGGGCATTCATGCTCCAACTCGAGGGGGAGTATTGAAGATTTAATGGAGGAATCAGTGGAGGAAAATCTTTCAGTAATTGATGTCGTTTTCTATTATTGAAGATTTGGTGTTACTAGAGGAATCAATGGAGAAAAATCCTCCTTGTTTCCTATTTTCTAATTCTTTCCATTGTCATAATTTCTTCTCCTATATAAAGGAGCCTCCACCATTGTATTGTATATGATTTGAGAGAGTATTATAAAAGTGATGTAGCCCTTTGGGCTCTTTGTGCCGTGGATGTAAGCCCTAGTGGCTGAACCACGTAATATCGGTGTGTTCTACTCGTTTAATTTCTCTTCGCTTCCGTTTTATGCTTTTCAACAATATTAAATATAAAAATAAAAAAATAAAAATTACAATATGCAGGAATTTTTAACCATATCATTTCAGTGGATAGCTAAATAACGTGCATAAATCCTTCCAAATTGCATATGAACTAAGTTAAATCAATGTATAATTGAAACAATTCAAAAGATACATCTCAAAGCCAATAAAAAACTTGATAAAGAATTGAAATTTTGACGTATTAACTAAGAGGATCAAATAAATCATCGGGCATGAATCCTTTAGATATGCATATGCATGAACTAAATCAAATGCCATTATAGAGGTGCAAAATTAAAAAGCTTTAGGGCCCATTTGCTTTGATGGAAACAAGAGGAAAAGAAAGAAAATGATTTGAAGGGAAACCTTATGCCGTGTTTGTTTTGAAAAAATGGAGAGAAATTGAAGGATTTCGAGGGAGAAAGGGCCCAATAAGCCATTGTATAGAAAAAAAAAAATTATCCTTCCTACGATGAACGGAATCAAAGGGAAAGAATAGTAATTACTCCCTTTGTCCCATAATAAGTGTCATGTATTGGGGAACCGTGACTCACAATTGTGAGTCACGGTTCCCCAATACATGACACTTATTATGGGACAGAGCGGTTTCCCAATACATAACACTTATTATGGGATGGAGGGAGTACTTGTTTTGCCTCCGTTATCTATCAGAAGTGATTCCATTCTTGCCCTTATTACTCACAAAATAAAACAATCATTTCATTTCTTCTCTCTCCATTATCTCTTCCAAAACAATACAAGGTCAATACCATCTTTTCCTTCATTAATTAGCCAAACACACTAAGAAGTTGACTCTATCTTTTCTTTTCTATCGTAACTAATGTTATCCTTTCTATTCTCTTTCCTCCTACTATACCAAACACAGCCTTAATCACGAAGATTTCAAATATCTCACTAGGAGGGGAATTTCTATGTGATTGTTTAACCTGTAATGCTCTTTTAAAAGACTGGACAGGTTTTTCGCATGCTTCCAAGTTTCTGACAATATAGGTGTGTCCAAACTCCAAAGCATGTCTTGTAAGACGCATATCGAACACTATCATGTCCCTGAAATAGACATGTAGCACTTCCTAGGTTTATAGTATGGCACTAAATGTTGCAGTGCTTGGTCAGTTATCCACACAACATCAACATCTATGTTTATAGACTATAAAGCTCAGTAGCCAGAAATTCGAAGGAAATGTAACCAGAAAGAAAGAAGGAAAAATCTACAGAAATTGAAAAAGATACAAAATGAATCAATATATTAACTAAACCAATCAAACATATATCCTGCAGTAGAAAAGATGAGGAATGAATCGATATAATATATCAACCACACATATATCCTACAGACTGCAGGTATCAACTATTATCTATGTTTAACCCAATAAATTTGCAGAAACCAATTATTGGAACCAACAAAAATTTCAGCAATTATTATTTTCCTTTGTTTTTTGGGCATCGCATCTGGAGTCAAAAGAAGCCCATTCTGTTTCTTGTAACAATTAAGGAACCTATTTCTCTTTTCTTGGATATTCTTAAATATATATATTTTTTCTAAGCAAGTTGTTGTGACCACCATACTATGTACACCAGTTTTAAAAGAGTGAATGGTTCACATGGAGGGTAGTGCTAGAAGAATGGAAAGACCGAAAGACCAAAATTAACATGGGTAAAGTTAGCAAGGAAAGATATGATGACATGTGATCTGACTCAGGCGGAGCCAGATGGGCCTAGAGGGGGCAGCTGACCCCCACCCGAGCGGGCCCATGCTGGCCCACTAAATTTTTTTTTTGTTAAAATAAATAGATGTATATAATTTTAAATTATCCCCCTAAAAATCTCTCAAGTTTTTTTCATTCTTTTCCTTCTTACTCTACTTTTTCTTCTTCAAACTTTTTTTCTAATTTTTTCTCTTCATAGTTCTCTCATATATTCTTCTTTGTTTTTCTTTTTCTTTTCTCTTATATTTTTTTTCTTCTTTTTTCCCCTCATGTCTGATATGCCTCCCCTGAATCAAATTCCTGGCTCTGCCCCTGATTTGACTGAGGCTATGGCCTTCAATAGAGTGGAATGGGAAAATAGGATTTATGTAACCAACCCCAAGTACTTGGGAAAAAAGCATTGTTGTTGAGTTCAGTTTAGTATAAAAATTGTTGTCTCAATCCACATATTACGCTATCAACTTATTTGTTCAATTGCCTACCCTAAAACAAAATGAACCAATTCTATTCTCATTATGCTACAAACAGTTAAACGAATTTGGCAATAACATTATGTCCAAGTATATGTTTTTTTCTGTTTTTTACAAGTATGTCCAAGTATATGTAGTAAAACTGAAACATAAAGAAAATGAATAATTTCCTGATAAAATGAGTACCTTCTCCTAGACCTGATAGGCGATGGTGATAAATTACGTCTTCTTGAATGTAGTTTCCTGCAGCATACAAGTGAACATGACTACATGAGGAAGTCCATGAAATAATAACAAAAAGAGGAAGAGACAAGAAATCTGAGGATCAACCTTTTAGAATCATCCGAGGGTTCATCACTTGAATCATTGGCATAACTAACCACCGAATTGTCCTTGCTGTTTCTGCCCCTACTGCCAATCGAAGAGGAACGATGTCTCTTGTGTCTGCTTGATTCACTTCCATGTTTTCTTTCTCCCTTGTCATCCTTTCGTGCTCTTTTTCTATCGCTATCTTCTTTAGCACTAGCTTTTTTATCTCTCTCATTTTCCTTTCTATCCTCCTTAACATCAGGATGGGAGGACTTTTTCCTTGAATCATAATCCTTTGCTCTTTCCACAGACTTAACACCATGCTCTTTCATTCTTTCTTTCGATCCATTCAGGTCATCTGTCCGTTCCTTTCTTGCATGCCTCTCATCCTGCCTCTTATGAGTCTCATCACCCTTATTGTCTCTTCCATCTTTGCCACTCTCGACCTCCTTAACAAAGTCTTTCCCAGCAGAACTCCTCTTAGCTTCACGTCTATCGTTCTTATCTGGTTTTTTTCTGGTTTCTCTATCTTGAGAATCATTTGTTCTCGACTTATTGACATCAACATTCTCAACTAGTCGTTCAGTTTGCATAATTGTCTTTTCTCCTACACTATCCTTTGACAAGGAAGGATCGGCACTGTATAGCATTTTCTCACCATCAACATCAGTTTCATCTTCCCTCACTCCAGCTACCATCTTAGAAGAATGTCTGGACTGAACATTACCATGTGCTGGTCTTTTACCTGCCAAATCAGTACTCAACTCACTATGCACAGCACTGTGATGAATTGAGGCCCCATTTGGACTCCCACTGGTGGGATCAGTCTCCTTATTTGTATGACCTTTGTCATTCTTTTCAGCTTCTGTTTTTGAACTGCCATTCTCAAATGCATGTACATCTTCTGAAAGCTTTCTAATGCTTTGCCGCTGAGAAACGGTATCTTCATTAGAATTTGGCATACCAGTAGTCGGGATTTCATCATCCTCATCATCATCTGAGGCATAGCTACCGAGACCTAATACATCTCCAGGAGAGCTGGAAGTAGATTTCCCACTAACATCCTCAGTATCAATTTCGTTGGTTTTGGCTGGTATTAGAACCTTTGCAGAAGCCTTGGGAGTTGGAACAGCTGGAGTAGATGGTGATACTTTACGAGGTGGGGCAACAACATTGTGCTTAACTGCAACAACAAAAAGTGACAATACACATGGAATTTAAAGGAAGAAAAATATTCGCATTTCAGTAGGTGCACCACAAATTTTAAAAAGAAGAAATTAATAATCTATGCATCTTATAACAACAACCTTCAACAGAGAGATCATCTTCACTAAGAACTTTTGTCGCAATTTCATCAAAAAGATCATCAGTAACCTGTTCAAATACATGAAATCAGAACAACCACAAAGATAAATAATATAACAATCATTTTTTTTATTATTATAATTTTTATTTTTTTAACCAGCTGCAACCTTCAAAAGAACTTCAGTCAGAACACGCTTTATTTCCTGGTTTATTGCTGCAGTTCTGGCTACTTCCACATAATCCTACAGAGAAAATAAACAGCTGCTCAATTCACAAAATGAAATGAAATGCACCCAGGAAACTGTCTGTTGAATTAGAGAACTGCAAAACTAAATAACCAAGTTAATAGAAAGACTCCCCTACCAAAAAAAAAAAAGAAAAGAAAAATTGAGGAAAACTTTTTCTAATGTTCATAAACATAAGTATTCAAAATGAATTATCATCAGGAAAAATAAAACCTCATCATCATCCTCTTCTTCAGTTGACCTGGAAGAATCAATGCTTTTGCTATCTGCCTGATCACCTTTCCCTAGAGATTTATCAACACTTTCATCTTCAATATATTGACTTTCCTCTTTGGGATGCTCAAGAGCAGAACTTCCAATAGCAGCTTTCTTCTTAATTATTTCCTCTCTAAGCCAGTTAGGAACTGAGCCCTGAAAATTTTCCACAATACAGAATGCTGGAACAATTATGTAACTGTTTAAACATCAGTGCTGGAGTATAAAACTACAGATACCTTTTTAGGGCGTTCAGAAACACTAGAAACCCCATATACATCACCAGGAAACCCTGTTGTTGGATGAAGTGCAGTTCCTGTGCCGATGCCAAAGGGTGCACCAACAGTTGGAATTGTAGACGGGAAGCTTGGTCCAGGCATCCTTCCAAATATTGGTGCAGAATGTCCAGGAATTGATGAGGGTGCATCTATTGAAGGATCGTACTATGAATAATGAAACAAATATTAGCATATTAAATCAAGGCTCAAGATCGCATGAATATTCAAAGTAAAAATCAAGACCTGCTGCCCTGATAGGTGTACTGGAGGGACTGGTGGATAAACTGCCCCAGCTGCAACTGGGGATGTCCAACTATGAACAGAAGGAACAGATGCAACAGGGTCTACTCCTCTTAAGGGTCCCACTGAATCAGTATGAGGATAACTGGGTTGCAAATGTGGATCATTGTCTCGATTAAACCTCGGTGCAAAATCTAAAGGCTGATCACTAAGATCAGTTATGGGCTCAGCTGACATGCTGCCAAATGCATAACGAGTCTGCTCCATAGAAACTGATCTACCAATTGGAGGAAATGGTGGCTGCAGATGGTGCTGTCCTTGAGTTGATGCAATAGACGAAGGCAGTGACTTATAGAACTTTTCGTTTTGATCTCCAGACTCTTCTTTACCTGATATTTGAGTAAGCAGTCAAACAGCTAATCATTTCATAATATAAAAATTATTTTCACCAGTATAAATTCCAATTTATGGTTTCTCTTATAGAGAGGGGGAGAGAGGGTGTGTTTTATATACATAAAATATTGTCTTTTATCACAAATTTCTGAACACAAGAAATGTAGACAGCCAAAGTATCTAATTGTAAGAACCAACCAAACAATCCAAAAATAAATAAAAAATTGCTCTGACTGTAGCAGTAGAGTTGATAGGTGTTGTTACCCTGATTTAAAAGAAGCTTGTTGTGGTGAAGAAGAAGGGGGGAGAGAGAGAGAGAGGGAACAAAAATAAATAAATTGAATAAGGTGTCAACTTTCAAAGCACAAGTTGTTTGTGGCTCATTTTGACATTTGGCTTCAACAAACCAGAGCTGGTCTAACCCAAAAAGAACATCATTTAATTAAAGTACCTTCTTTTCAGCCACAGATGCGTTCATTACATAACCAAGAATTTTATGCTTATATTAATCTTTTTAGAAGCAAAATATTTCTTACAAATAGTAATATATGCAGAAAACATATCAAAAATCATAGTAGATAGGACATTGATACACAGTCCTTCCTTCCCAGTTCAAATAATTTATATCATTAATGAAGTAATCTGTCAAGGAAACATATGAGAAACAGAACAGGAGGGGATCTTGAATGGATTCTGAAGTCACATATATGTGTGAGAACCACTCCAAAAGGCCTTTTCAACAATCTTTCCTAGCAAGTGTGTCACTGCATGGGTAAAAAGAAGCATTCCCCCCTCTTTTCTCCCCACCTTCCCAACAAAATAACAACAATTCATTTAAATTAAGGAAAAAATGTTTCTAATTACATAGATTTTGAAGGAATTGACAATACAAGGACTGACCAGGTTATATATACAACATCGTTCCCTCAAACATCCTTATCTGAAAATGGAGTTCGTATTTTTTTACCAACTGGCTGTGCTTAAGTTTTAGCCACCTTATAATGAGGTAACTTAGATGGCTATGGGCTTGCAACTACAGTCCCCTTTGACAGTGATGATTGTTTGGCATTATTCAAGGATCATATGGGGCTTTTTGGCCCATGTCAGTCATTCAACAAGCCTATTTGTCATTACCAACCACAGTTAGCAACCATGTGTCACCAACATGCCTTTAAAAGGCCATTCGTCTCTTCATAGCAATGTGAAATGCTTGCTAAAGCCAGTTATCTAGCCATTGCTGGCCTGTTTAACACTCATCAAAAGATTTATTAACTCATTTGAGCCATTGGATGGACTACTTTGGCCAAAGCACCTCCAAAGCACTTAATTGTTTTGGGCCACCTTAGCTTCAAAATTTGGCAGCCAACAGCAAACATCCATTTTTGAGAGGCAACAGAGGAAGTGAACGACTAGAAAGCAACAACCTTGTCTCTGCAGTGTTGAGACTTAGAACCTGTCACAAGCAGATATCTCACAGATGATGACAGCAAAAAAAGAGCAATTTTCAGACCTTAAAAACCTTCTATATAATATAGGTGCCTTAAATATGAAAATAGACAATTCCAAATGGTAAATTATTTCTTCCCAGACATTCACAAACAGATCTGGTATTGTGCATATTCTAGAGGCCTGAAGCTCATAAAATGATAAACTTGCATCTCCACAATGGCTCAACAAAAATGCCAACTTAAATAAGTTTACAGGGTTTATAAAGACCCATATGTAACTTTGGACACAATTATAAATCAAGTTCATTACTAAAGTCAAGCTCTATAGAAGCGGTTATTGAGCGTGAGCTTCACAAAATGCCAAGTGAATTATTACCTGTAACAGAAGAATAACTAGAAGGTACCTCCTGCTGGTGAACCAATGGGCTTGTAGGTCCAAATTCTTGATGACGATATACAGCATTTGAATCTCTCGCCAAAGTTCCATCTCTACTGGTGAAATGAAAATGCCCATCCGGAACATACGAAGATTGACCGGTACTGATGGATGCAGACTCATGTACATGAAAGTCAGGTGGCCTGTGTGGAGGTGCAGCTGGAGCAGGATACTGTTGATAGCTTGACGCGAGGTGGGACGGCTGAGGAGCATCTGCATAATGAACATCAACATTTTGTGGATACTGATCGTGATAATGACTCAGTTCTTCCGGTCTGCCATTTGGCGTGAACTGTGACTGTGGATGATGAGTATCTGTTGCAACTTTGGCAGCTGCCCACGCTCTGGCCTTGGCAGCCCAATCTTCTTCATTGTTCTGGGCTGCCATCATTGAAAACTCAGCAGAGTGATTACAATACAAGATGAAAGGATGCACAGGCATATAGCAGTTTTCTTTAAGGAAATAACAAAAAAAATCAAAACAGAGAGAAGGTGGAGGCCGACATAAGAAGCATCATGATATTAAATTCATACGAGTGCTCCAACAAATACAAATGAGACTTCTCAATTAGATAATTCTTACTATGAGGGACTCCAAGCAAGAAGCGCATAGCCTGACCATAAAGATGCAACTTTTGGAGTAGTTCACCCTTTCATTGGGGTGAACTGTTTATGATCGTCCTAGTGGTTTCATACACTATAATTTATTTCAAAGAAGCCATTAGTTTGTCCTCTCTTTTTATGTTGGCGATGGAGTGATGGTGGAGGAAAAAAAGAAGTATTTAAAAGAGGAAGCATCTGACAAAATTTGCAATTGGCCAAAATAGCTATTTCCAAATAATATAATACAATTGGGTCTTCCTTCAAATTTGAACACAATACCATATTCAACCCACAACAATTCTAGAAGGTAGGTAGGACTCCACATGGCATGTAGAACCAGAAAATTTAGAAAAATATGTATGTAATCTACATCAACCTATATTCAGAAGAATCACAATCACAATATATTGTGGGAAAAGCATTGGAATTCACACATTGAACAGTGAGTGAGTTCCTATCCTAGGAATTACAGGTAAAAAGGGGAGAAGTATGATAAATCTACTGGCAGATTAATCAAGCAGTAAAAAATAAGAACAAATATTTGGTAACAAAAAGATTAAGAATGAGAATAAGGGAAATAAAATTATCAACTTCAGAAGAATATAGACAAAGCATTCTCCAAAACTTAATCACATTTCTACACTTACCTGGGTACTCCCAGCCTTGATGATGACCCCAATTTGAATTGCCCCAGTCCTATAAGCATTCACAAATTAATGATTGGTTCACATATGAAGCATTTCGCAGCCCATCATCAATTACCAATTTACCAAGGATTAGGGTACATACAAAGCACGTCTTACATAAAATAAAAGAAACATATATACATATCGCATCTTCCTTAAAAGAAATACTATAACAATTACAACTTCAAAAGATCTAATATACTAAGGTTATCACCATTAACATAATCTTTTTAAGAAAATTTGATTTTCTTTCATTCACTTCACTTTATGCTACTTTCACTTTCCAAAACTTGTTTATTTCCATCCGAACGGAGCCTAAATGCGGTAAAGCAACTGAATGATTCAAAAAATACTAACAAATTATCAAAAAGGGTATATATTTGTCAACAAATTGATGCAAAAATGGCAACCCTTGCCACAGTCTAACCTCAAAAAATGCTTAATCAATCTCTCAAAATCTGATATCACCTCTCAAAACTAATTTATCAAAACAAACAACAGCTTTCAAAGATAAAATACAATAACGAAAATCAGAACCCTAGGGGGCTGATGAACCAAAACAAGCATCAAACCTAATGCGAAACACAAATAGAACGAGAGATGATTGATTGTATATTACCTGGTTGACGTGAGGATAAGATTGGGGGATCTGAGAATGAGAATGAGGATGAGGATGAGGAGGAGGAGGTAGGTGAGGCCGAGGGGGAAGAGGAAGAGGAGGGTACTGGTTGTGAAGAGAATAAGGATTGTGAGAATAAGGCGGTGGAGGAGGAGGAGGAGGGGGGAGATGATCGGAGTGAGGAGGTGGACCCCACTGGTTGTGAGGCGGCGGGGGAGACGGAGACTGCTGCGAGGGATGGTGATACTGGAATTGGGTGGAGAACCAGGTGGAGCCCTGGGGAGGATGTGGCTGCTGCTGCTGTTGCTGCATCGGCGGAGGAGGCTGGTGGTGGGGATCCGCCATGGACGGCGGTGGGAGTGGCGGAGGAGGCCTCATGTAGCGCTGGTTAGGGTGTTGAAAGTCCATATTTTTGGTGTTTAACGGCGAATTTCAGCTGAGAAGGGGGCGGTGGAAGTAGTAGGGAAAAGCCAACATAAATTGGGTGTTGCGTTTAATCTATACTATCGTACAGTCTATTATAATACTTGTGAATAACCCATGTTCTTTTTCTTTATTTTTTAAAAAACATAACTAATTAAATATTTTTCTCTTCTCTAAATTTTTTTGTTTCTTTTTTCGTTTTGGTAGGTATATTCTTTCTTTAAAATTCACGCACGTAATTTATGTATCACATCTTATTATAAAATTTATTTAAAAATATTCTTTTTACGTTGTACAGAGTGTTGAAGAAATAAAAAACTGAAAGTAAAATAACAAATTCATGTAGCGTGATGATATAAACGGTAGAACGAAAGTAACAAAATATAAGTCACACGTAATAAAAATAAAAACGAGAACTTACGAATCATAAGAACAACGCTTATTTAGAATAATTATGCGAAATTTAAGTCACACATAGTGAAAATAAAAATAAAAACTTACCAAAGATGAAAACAGCACTCATTTAGAATAATTATGCGGCTTAAGGATTGACACTACGATAAAATAAATAAAATTAATCTTAAGTGATATGAACATATGAAAGGAACTGTAGGAAGAAGAAGCAAATTAATTTCCATAAAAGGTGAGAAGATAAATAGGATAACAAAAATTATAATGATGTGAGATTATTAAAATTAATTTTAAAAAGTTAAATTTTAATGAAGCAATGACTTCTGATAAAAAATATAGAAAAAGTGAATTTATGTAAGTGACTTTTATTACTACCATATGAAATTAAGGTAAAGAATAGTAACGATGACAATTTTCATTTTTAGATGATTTATATTTATTTTCTAATTTCTTACATAAGCAGAAGGCCATTCTTTTCTCAAGTATGCACGTTTATTTTTCCTTAGTATGTGACAAAAAAAAACTTGTAATTTTTATTTTTATTGTATATCTTGATTTCTTTTAATATGATATATATATAGTTATAAAACATATATGTATTCACCTATATAAATGATTTTTATCAAATTGTAATTGTATATCTTGATTTCTTTTAATATGATATATATATAGTTATAAAACATATATGTATTCACCTATATTTTCTATCCGTGAATCATGTGACATACAAAAACTGTTGATATAGAAAATTAATACCACACTTTCTATATAGAATCTAACGGTCATTTTTCAAACCCACCTATAGTATTTCTTTTTAACACAAAACCACTTTAACACTATTTTTAGTTTCTATATTTAATTTTACCATTATCACCTATTATAACAATAAAAGGTAATTATCAAAATAAAAATAGAAATCTTTGGAAAAAAAATAATACCAATATATTTTACTAAAAAATTGTTTTTATTTAGATGTTTATTTAAAAGTAAAACAATACCTGTATCTTTCAATTTTGTAACAACCGTATGATATTATAGAATTTTCCTAAAAAAATGGACGAAGCTTTTCTCACAACCTTATCTATGGAGAGTAATCATTTGTTTACACTTTTGTCCATGAATTCAAATTCAACACACGAAGAAATGGAGAGAAAGTTGATAATTATTTTTTATTGTTACGTAAGTGGTAATGATAAAATAAAATATAGAAACTAAAAATAGGGTGAGAGTCTTGATCTCTCCCATGGAGTAAGAAAATTAATTCACACTTTTTATATATACCGTTAGATAAAAACTAATGGTCATTTTTCAAACTCACCTATGGTATTTCTTTTTAACACAAAACAACTTTCATCCTATTTTTAGTTTCTATATTTAATTTTACCATTATCACCTACTATAATAATAAAAGGTAATTATCAAAATAAAAATAGAAACTTTTGAAAAAAATAATACCACTATATTTTACTAAAAAATTGTTTTTATTTAAATGTTTATTTGAAGAAAAACAATACCCGTATCTTTTAATTTTGCAACAACAATATGATATTATATCATTTTCTTAAAAAACATCTTGTTGTTCTCAGTATAAGTAAATTAATATACTTCTCTAGTATAAGTAAATTTACCAACAAATATAATGTAATATTGCATTTTAAAATATTGAATTGATTAATTGGAATTAAAATCGAAGAAAATTTCATTTAAAGTTTGAACAAAAATTCTTTCTATTTCAATTTGAAGTTGGGCATTTGGTGAAATTTATTATTGAATCTGTGAATTTGTGTATTGAATGATGATGATGTACCAACTATGGTGGGACTGTAGAATCCACCTCAAAAACAACAAGGTAACCCAAAAAAAATGAGTAAAGCTTTTCTCACAACCTTATCCATAGAAAGTAATTATTTGTCTACATTTTTGTCCATGTATTCAAATTCAACGCACAAAGAGATAGAGAAAGAGTTGATAATTATCTTTTATTGTGGGAATGGTAAAATTAAATATAGAAACTAAAAATTACATATGTGGTTTTGTGTTAAAAAGAAAGGCCAAAAAATCATTCAGTGTATGTTCAGGGAGTGCAATAACAATCACGAAATTGATCCAAAGGTTCCAAAATCAATATATCCCAATACAGCATGCATTTAGCTTGTGACTGTTTCTTCTCCATACAAACCTGAGCAGAATCACAAACTTCCAAGATCAAAAATTTCCGCCATAATCGAGCATCCACCGGATGCTCTGCTCTCTAACTTTCTGTGGATCAACTCGAGAATGTTCAAGGATCAAGATGTTCTTACACCCCTTATCAATTTAGTAATACAATCAAGTGTCAAAAAAATTATTGCTCAATGGAAGTTTTGATGTCCCCGTCTACCAAAAAAGAAAGAAATGAACAAAGAGCGTAATCACACTTCAGCTCGACTTTCTGCGAAAGCCGTAAGCCATGCAATTAGATGTCACTCCAACCCTGGCTGTAGTAGCATGAGCACGGTCTAGCTCCCGCTTTATCTATGTTTACAGTCTGACTAGCTTCTTACTCGAGCACGCCCTACTGCCTTGTCTCAAATTTCCTTAACCAACTTTGTACTCTTTTAACCTTTTTCTTCCCATGACAGGATACCCTTCAGCACCACAAAAACAACTTTGCTTAATTTTGATGTTGCCCTTGTTGCTTGCTGCTTCCTATGAGTGTTCCTCATCTTTCTCCAATTTAATTTCATTCAAATATGGCATAGCATCAGCACCGTCTTTTTAAAGCTTCGGTTCATTGATGTTCTTCTCCTCACCATTTGATACCTACAAAAGAATTAATTTCCTCAGACAAATCATGCCAGATGCCACATTGTCAAAAATGGAGCAATTGGCTATTTGTTCGGAAGCTATAGATGAAAAACGAAAGCTCTCTGATACTAGTGATCCCATGCTTTATGATGTGCATAAACATGTTTAAGCAACCAGATAAAAGCGTAAGAAAAACATTCATATAGCTAGCATGCCAGACGAAGCAATCACAGACAGGTGTTTAGGAGTTCAAATAACCTATAATCTACAAATTGATTAAATTTATTGTTAACATTATTATGGATTGTATGAGTGCGTGGCTTTATATGCAAACTAATGATTTTGGAAAGAAAATGAAAAAAAGGCCAATCATTTGTTTGAATAACACCCAATGATTGGCGAGAATTTCCAGTGAAGAGAATTACCCTGTTGAATATTTCATCAAACTAGTTTATAAAAAAGATATATGCATCCTCAACAGTATCCTAATCACAAACCAAGTTTCTTAACAAGTTCCTTATCAAATCATGAAGTGCTCATGCTACTTGCCTACTTAACAAAAACATTTGTTTCGAGTGTCACCCAACGATGGACAAAAAATTTCCAGGGAAGAAATACCCTGTCAAATCTATCTTAAAAAACATATAAAAAAGGAATATGCTTCCTTAATAGTATCCTGATAACAGAAAACTAGTTTAATACTCACTTTCAATATTTAAAAACCAAACAGGTCTGAAAAGTATCAACTAGTTTGCTCAAGTTAGAAACTAGGCAATACTACTTTATCACATGAGAAAATAAAGTTGGGTTATGAGATGAACAAATATGTAGCACAGAAACACCTAACTGAGCTGATAACAAACACCTCAAGCAAGCCATTGGGTAGGTAATGAAAAATTCCCGCAATAAAGCTTTCTCGCTGCATACTTAAAAAAAGAACAAAACTACTAATGATGCACCAAAAAGGAAATCAATAGAAAAGCATGAATACCAAGGTAATCCCAACTGGGAATATGAAAAGTAAAAACTTTGTGGGTTGATTGAGTTGAGTAGAAGTACGAAAATCATGAGGGATCTGTTGTGGTAAAATTTTGACAAAAAGAGAGTTCCAAAAAGTAATGGCGTCCTACACCTTCAAGATAACTTGCAAGAATGGTTGTACAAAAGAAGCTACTGGCCAGGCTAAATCAACAAAGAAAATTCCGTACACAGATAATACAACTCTCAAGTTGAGAAGACCTACAGCAAGAAGATGAGCTAGTTAATCTGCAAAAAGAATTTCACGCCATCATTAGCTTTCAATATTTTGGAAGATGGTTGTTAACAAGATGTTTTAGTGGCATCAGTAAGAATTAGAACTACAGTATTCAGCATCAATTAGGCAACAGACCTATTCTTAAATTTTTTAAAGGAGGTCAATCAGTAAGCCAGTTAAGCATAACAGTTATAAGGTCCTCTGGCTGTTATAAAATGGTTATGTGGACTCGCGCGATTGAGATTTCCTAAGTGAGTATGGATAAACACTCCAGCCCTTAATTTTATATGGCACAGGATGTTTCCTTATTTAAAATATAACTTCAAAAGAAATATGACAAAAAATGACTTTCAAACATGATGGTTTTTCTGTTTCTCAAAATTAATTATACATCAGGAGGAAGAGGCGCGAGTTATAATTAACCAACCTCAAAAGCTATTTGATGATCTTTTCCTTTGGAATATGTTCATTAAGCGACGCAGGGACATCATTGGCAGTGGCATAACCATACCTACAACATAAAACAATAAACTGCACCACAGTGTGAAAGTGTGTACATCTCAAACATAATTTGTTTAGTTCCATTTAACTTACTAGAGAATAAAAATATTGTTAGGAAATAGAGAAAGAACTACTGCACACCAACATTGTGCATTCAAAACTTACCAATGACATAATATGATTCCTCAAGACAAAGGCTGAAAATTATCGAGTTTTCACTTTTCAGCATACTGGCATCCACCTAGGTGAGAGCAAAGCCTAACAAAGATTTGATGGTCCATTGCTTGCAACTTGGTCTATTCTCAAAACCCTCAACAAGAAAAGGATCACAAATGGCACATCTCAGATCTCGATTATGATCACAACACAAAAACACGTGAACAATTCAACCTTTCAGGTTCTCCTAGGGCCAATGGAAAAACCCCAGGAGCACATTCTCCAAAAACTTATCCACATTTGGAAGTGTCAAACCCCTAAATCAATCAAAATACGAACATAGCAAACAATTTGATGTATAACCAAAAAAAAAAAAAAAAAAGAAAAGAAAAGAAAAAAAAAAAAACATCTCAATTTTCAAAAGAAGTAATACATATCTGAATCATCAACCATGGATATGATAAGTTTTAGGTTCACAAGTCACCTACATCATATCTGGAAAAATATAAATGTTAATGTTTGAAGGCACTGTAAGATCCTGTTCCTCGAGTATTGTTAAACGAATCTGTTTAAAAAATAACGTAAAGAATTAGAAAATAGCATTCAGTTGCTCATAAATAGGAGGGCTTAAAAGGAAATTTGAAACCATCAGAAAATATAAAAGTAGTTTCTAACCGAGACTTCCAACCATTTTAGGTTGAGTTGTTTGGTTTCAATGAACAAAAAGAAGTCTTCAGTTTTAAATTCTTTCTCTCTGTTTTCAGGAAACAAACAATGTAAAGTATAAACTATCACTATCACATTTCATTTGAATATTTGTCAAGTTTCTGAAAGTACATACAGTTTAGTGAAGATAGGAAAAAGTGATCTTCCCATGAAAATCATTCTGCAAGACTTGAAAGTGATGGCAAGAAGCATCCAATGAGGATTGAACTAGGCATCTTTGGCACTAAACAGGAGAATTCAGGGTTCATGAGTGGAGAAATATGTGGTGGTTGGAGTGAGTGGTTACATCAATAGAGGACTCGTGCATGTCCAATAACTGGAATCCGTACTTGAGCTGAAGGTCATTGGTGCCTGTAGGATCTGTGACACCTCCATTGATTTAGGAACTGAAGGAGTTCAATTTGGAGGAGAAGAAAACAACAATACTTGACTAAAATGTATGTCTACTGGGCTTTATATAATACTATCCTAAATTCAACTACAGCTAATTTGCATCATTTCAGGTACTATGGTGTCAAGGATGTTACAAGTATATATTTCATTTTGATTCAAGTCAAATAGAGTTTATCAGCAGAAAGAATATTCTTAGTGCTGACGGGATGCTTATTGAAGATTGTAGAATGCCCTATACACCACCATTGTTGCAAATTTTAGCATGCTTAGAATCTCTTTGCCAAGTCAGGGGCAGAGTAGTCATCTGCACATACTAATTATATCAACAGGCTCACAAAAAATGTTCAGGATAATAAAAGATGAGATACACTCATAATTGACCAAATCTCCTCATGGATGCTTATTTCTCTCTGTTTATTTCAACAGATGCTAATATTTATTTAAAAATAAAAGAAGATAAAGAAGAAGAAGAAGAAGAAGACTACTAGTATAAGATAAAAAAAACAGCGGAAATGTATCTCAATTAGTAACTCAGGCTTTTTGAGTTATTTGAGTTATTTGCCCCTCATCTAAGATTTTCTTCTTTTTCTTTTTCCTTTTTAATAAAGAAAAAGTAAACAAAGAAAGAAGGGAAAACATGATGTAGCAGACTATGCAGGAAGCTGCCTTGCAGTCTTCATATAGAGATGGCTGCACTGCACTGCAACTGCTTCAATGGTATCCCATCATTTTCTCTTTCCGTAAAAGTCCACATTTTTGTTGGACCTCTGTATTGAATCACACGGTAAATGCAGTTGAGGAAGAATATACTGGAATTTCAAGTATATCAACTCCTAGATCACGCTACAGCATCAGCCTGTCTTCTGGTCAATTGTGCATACAGGCCATCTTTCAAGATAAGCTCCATGTGGTTGCCCATCTGCATGTAGGAACAGAAATTAGGCCTAAAGCTTGCAACAAAGAGTGGGATAAATTAACGAGTGCCTGAGCACTCAAGAAGATCATGACTACTCAAGTTTGCAAGGGAAGGCATTTCCATTGTTCCTTGACTGAATGACTGCTAATTGCTCTGTTTTAACCAATTCAACTTCTTAGATTGTTGTACGATATAAAACTCGCAAACTGTAACAGGCCTGTAGCAAGTTCCATCTCCACTAAACAATAAATCAGTAAGCAGAAAGAACTACAAATTAATGACTTCATGGTGCAGTGTTAGCACGAGGATAGCAGTACAAATCCCAGAAAGCTCATTCACATAGCAGACACATCTGATGCCCTATTGACTACGTTCTTTGTGTGCAAACCACATTGCTTCTAGACCAAAGAATACTTGACAAAATAAAGAAAAAATCATACAAAGACGCTATTGGCATTTGTTACGTGGTTGATATGGTAGTAACTACAGTTACTGATAGACAACAGCATCCCAATGTGATTGCCAGACCACATACCTCAACAATTTGACCACCATCCATTACCACTATTCTGTCAGCAGCTTGAATTGTGGAAAGTCTGTAGAAAGTAGGTTCTTAAGTACTCGAACATTTAGTAGATACACCAAAAGGAGAGTATTGCAGGACTCACCTGTGTGCAATCACTATGACAGTTCTCTTCGTCTTGAGGTCAGTTCTAACAGCACGAAGAACAGCCTACATATAATAGCAAATGACATGTTAAATGCACTGTGTCAACAAATTCAGAGTTCCATGTGTTACTTTTTTCTAGTAATGCTAGTTAGTTACCTTGATATTGTATTCACTCTCTGCATCTAGAGCACTAGTGGCTTCATCAAGAACCAAAATGTTTGGGTCCCGAAGTATGGCCCGAGCAATGGCAATTCGTTGCTTTTGTCCTCCACTGAGCAAATTGTTATCAACAAGTGTTTTGTAACCATTAGGAAGAGATAAGATGAAGTCGTGAGCATATGCCTGCTTGGCAGCCCACTCCACGTCCTCCTGCTTCACATCTCGGGTACATCCATACCTTATGTTTGAACTAATATCCATCCGGAAAAGTCGGGGTTCCTACTCAAAAAACTCAATAAGGAAACGGTATTTTATAAAGTTTCACTTGATTTTATTTGGCAGGAAGTTTACGAGCAGAACCTGTCCCACAAATCCAATTCTTTCCCTCAACCACTTGATATTTAGGTCTTTAAGAGGGAATCCATCAATTAGAATCTACAATAAGAAAAACAATTACTAATGAAAAGTTCAACTAATTTATCTTTACACACTGTATAACTAAATAAAAGCAAGAAAGGATGTAACGCCTGGTCAAGATTCTCAACTTACCTAGGGGAAAAAATGCATATCAAGATTATGCAAGGTTTATCAATCGAAAAATGATAAGAAAGTTGATGATATTATAGAATAAGACCAGGTGCCAAAAATAAAAAGCAAAAGAAAGTGAAACTTATCCTACTGAAATAGAGTTCCAACCTAAGTTATGGCAATGGATGATTATCCCAGTTGTGATAGGACAGCCAGTTGAGTGAGCGTTAGCATTACTTGTTCCAGTTCTTTCTTTAGCAACTCATGCGTAAGCTTATCATCAGCATGTATGTGAGATGTCTGGAGAGTGTGCATTGTTCAGATGTTGTTGTTTTATCAGCGTAATTTTAAGGGTGACCAGAGGTTTAATTCGTCTTCTTTTTTTCTTTTTTTATCCCCACACTGCTCTTTTCTTTTATCTCCACATTGTTCTCAACGAAAGTGGGGAAAGTTATTCCAAGATCAAATTTATAATATAAGAACATTGATAGTTAGAGGGAAGGTAGACACTATTATTAGAATGAGGGTTAATATCACGTCTATAAGAAACTTAAGTGGTAGGAGAGAAAGCTAGGATTAAAATTCAGTATATAAAGTATATTACACTTGAAAAGATAGACATAGAAATGAAGTAGGGTGATGTGATCTACACTAGGAAAAGCAAAAGACAGTTGAAATCATATTTTTCAATATGATAGTGTGTAGTTTTAACCAAAGTTACAGCTAGATAATCAAAATGGTAAGACATTATTCAATTCGCCAAACCCCCAATAGTTAGAAATGCCTCTGTTGAGGCTTCTTGTGTTTGAATCAATAACTCCCACTAAATTGCAGACACCAGATCCTCCCATATATTTATACAATTACATGATGTTTGTTCCCAACACAGGGATAGAGCAGCTTACCTGACCACCTGTTGGCTTATAAATATGAAGGAGAAGATTCACAAGAGTGCTTTTTCCACTACCACTAAGACCGACCTAAAAAATAATAAAATCAAGTGCCATTTATTTCTTCTGGTTGGCATGAAATAATAAAAAAGATAAAGTGAACATTCACTTTCTTACAATTGCAACCACTTCATTAGGACACACTGAAATGTTTACATGTTGTAGTACAGGTACCTGTCCAGATGTCAAAAGATTAGTTCTTTTCATAGTAACATCAAAAGATTTGTGAATATTAGTCAGAAAAGGCGATCATAATCATTAGTCTGGTCATAAAAACTGATCAAAATTAGTACAAGATGAATTTCATAATCTGGAATTTAGATATAAATTTCCTACAATTTCATTATTCGAGGAATTAGTGTAATGTAGTTATTCTTATAAATTCTCTAAAAAATTGCATAGCAACAGTGACAAATTCACTGTGAAAAGGACAAATGCTTCAGCGGTTAATGAGAGAACGAGTGAGCATCTGATAATAATTTATATATTTATAAGAATAATAATCAGCAACTTCAGAATGCATCTCATCTCTTTCAAGTTGCACATGCTTATGGCAAGACATTTTACTAGAATTCTCCATTTTTTAACAAAAACACAACATATATCCTAGGGATTTTATTCAACCCAGTGTCACCTGGGGCATGGATTGCTGTTGTAAATGGGAAGCAAGACAGGCGATCAGTTTGCCATTTACTCAAAAGGTGGGACAGCAGGATGGCTTATATAACTTCATAGGGTGCTTAATTAGCGTGAAAATGTAATAAGGTGGTTTAAAAGAAAAACTTCAATAGAAGATGATTTATGAAACATGCTCCTCCAAAGCACAAATCCTAGGCTCTCAAAAGCAAGTTAATTGCAAAGAGATAATGCTGAATTTTCCAACACACATAGATTTTACATGTTTTAGGGCTGCCACCCCTTTTCTCCCCCAAACCAATTTTTCTTAGGTTTCAACTTTCAAGTCATTATTTTTCATTGAACCCAAAAAAAAAAAAAAGGGAAAGGGACCACTGAGAAAAACTTGAGAATTGGCAAAAGTAGGACTTTAGAACAGAAGTGTAACTATGTTTGAATGATCTTTCTTCAAGTTTTCGAGTCCTCGTCTTGTTTGTTGTTAATTGTTGTATATAAACTCTCTTATACATAGTGTAAGCACCTTTCTGTTTCCCATTCAAATAAACAAATGACCGCCACCACCACAAAAACAAACAATACAAGTGCTCTGTATGCTTGATTGGTACCACACCCTAATTAGATACTCTAAAGATTACATATGTAGCACTAAGATACTTCACCAAAGCATGTTGAATTTTACTGCAGTATGGAAGGTGGTACAAATATTTGTATGCAACAGAAATTCCCATCAACTTTAAAAATAAATAAAAAATGAACAGAGATTCCCATTCCTAGTGTAACATAGCAACAATATTCCATATCATATGTTTCCTGCCATATTGCCCAGTGTTGGTCCTTCTCATGAAAATATATAGTAAAAGGAACTGTTGAGAATGGAAAATGTTCTGGTTCTCACTTATTCTGACTCGTAAAATTCACATATGAAAATATCAAGTTCCTGACTGAATATTCTCGCTCGTAAAATTCACATATGAAAATGTTTGTGTAAGATATGGTTCTAATCTTCATTATAATTCAATCAAATTTATGTAGGTGAAAAGAAAGATGAAAAAGATATAAAATTTATGTTACCCTCTAAATAAAAGATGGGCTATTAATGGGTCAGATTAGGAGAGAAACCAGCAAGGTTCAACCAGCAAGGTTCAAAATCCAAACTAAAATCCAATTTTGATAAAATAGGTCGGATTGGATAGGATCTACACAGATTCTTGTTTCATTTGGTTATAATCAGGTTTCTTAAATCAGTTACAGATTCAAATCAAGATTTACACCGGTAACGGAAATCCAACTTTAATCAGGTCATATTCAAACTGAATTAGATCTGATCCTACCCATTGACAACCCTAAATAAAAACCTGCCAACTTAACAACCCTCTTAAATTGGCCACTGAAAATTCAAATTAACCCTTATCTGAAGATTCTGAACCAAGTTTGGCACTAAACAATTAAGGATGATTATAACTTTGCCATATGTTTTATTCAAGAGGTAGCCAATCAAAAAAGGTCTCAAAGTAAGAGCCAGACTTGATTTGGAGTTTTGAGGATAAGAAACGCACCATTGCTCTTGAAGGGTAATAAAACGATACATTCACAAACTCAATATGTCCCAACAGCCTTGGCAACTTTAAACCTGCAACATGTTGGCATACAATATCCAATTGATTAAACAGAGCATAACTGGAAATTAATCCTTGAAGGAAAATAATATGCAAAAAAAGAAAAAAGAAAAAAAAGAGAGATATTTCTGCTGAAACTTCTGGCACAAACAAAAAAGGTGCTCGTAACATTATCAAAAGTGAAAAATAAGCATTTGTAAAGACAAATAGAAGTCATTCTTTGCCTCTATTGAATTTGAGTGTATAGAACAGTGAATTCAGCCTGAAATAAGAAGTTGTGTCCTTTTCCACCTATCACTCTCCTTTGTCGGACCATTCTTGGTATCTCCAAAGTTCAAACTTCAAATGCGAGTACCATCTCTCCATCTTTGTCAATATTTTAGGTCAAAAGTATGACTGAAGTTATTTCTATGACTGAAGTTATTTCCTAAGTTGGATGATTCTACATAATACATATCTCATTTGGGTCCAGATCCCCTTGTTTACTAATACAAAAACAAATGCCAAGGTTGAGGTCTCTAGGGGGTCATCACATCCTTGTGACATCGTGCAAGAACTTAAAATCTAGTAAATGATCTGCACCGAATATTCAAGAAAACATTTCAGATCCTTTGACTGGGATCTCTAAAAAATCTCTTTGATAGTGTGGGTTCCTGTTGGGTAAGTAGAAAGTAGAGGTATCATACATGATACAAAAGAAATCCCAAGTGGATTGAGTTGAGTGATAGCGTGATTCAGACGGACTCACCAAAGAGCGAGTTTGACAGTCAAGGACACAAGCGCCAAAATAGGGTAAGAACAAAGAATTGCTCATGCTAATATGGCGGTTGTGTCAGTCCATGATACTTAGTTGCTTACTTCTCCTGCGATCTAATGAGATGCCTCAACATGCACCAGGATTATTTGATAGGGACACAATAGGAATACCACCAGGGTGGCCAGTGGCATCGGCGTGATAGGCTTCCCCAGTAAGCTTACAGTAGTCCAACAGAATGAGTCCACATGTTAATAGAATGGTAATTTGGAAAATAGCTGTAAAGAGTGCGTGGTACTAGTGTTGTTACGATATGAGAGCATTTATGATCCGGAAGTCAAGTGATATCTCTCTCTTTGAGCTAGGTTAAGGAATGTGCAAACATCCAAAAGAGATCACCTTGACGAACAATGGACCTCAACCACTAAGCTAAGTACCTCTTAGGACTCGGTGAACTACGAATGTCCATAATGACAGCCATACATCAAGCTCTGGAAGTCCCCTAAATCGTATTTCCCAACTCAGGTGGTACAAGCTGCATCAAAATGCCTTTAATCTTCAAGCTAGACTTATTCAGTGAATATGAGATTCTCACCATGCTCTATGAGTTTTCCTGGCTGGATGCCTTGTCTAGTTTTCCAATAATTTTTTCTTTTTTGCTTAAAAGATGCTGTCTATAGTGAGTTAGAAATATTTAAGTAACAGCATATCAAGCTGGCAGAATTAGAAATTTAGCGAATGTATTGTCCTTTAACACAGATAATTTTATTTAAGATTAGGGTCTCAAAATTAATTAATCACCCTTGGGCTTTGGAAGAAGGGAATATTGAGGTTTGGGGTGTGACAGATAAACAAGCTATAAAAGGCTGAGATCGGAAGACACTGAATGTTCCTTCTTTCACACTACCCTCACTTGATTATCAATGTCAATGTACATAGAATAAAACATGAGGTAAGGGTAGTAATGCCACGTAAGATGCCATCTTGACAACACTTGTAAAGTAAAAATGCCATTTTGGTGACTCATGGAGCACGAGAGTCCTGTACCCACACAGATTTTGATTTTGTTAAGTAACTTTACATAGAGAAACAGTTTTCAATTACAGTGCATAGCTTCAACACAATAGAAATTATTCAAATTAGAAGCAAAAAAGTGGAAGTAAGCATTATAAGCATGGAATCAATTTGAACATAACTACACAAGTACAAGTGTTATATTAGGACGTTAAGAAGTACTTGCCTTCAGATTGGAACTGGTCAGTAGGTAAAAGATCCATCAATTGGAAGACTTTTTCACTTGCCCCAACAGATTGCATCAATGATGACAAATTGTCCCCCACAAACCATGTCGAATAAATCAGCCATTCACTGTACAATAGGAACTTTGTAAGTTGCTCTGCCGTTATGGTACCAGCCAGAATAGACATTCCTCCTATTAGCACTGCAATAACCTATAAAATTAAACAGGTGAAAAGCCAAAGTCATTCACTAGATCATAAAATAAAAAATATTTGATTTCAATGGATTAATCCAAAATTGGCTTTAGCACTCCCCAATTTTATATCTAAGAATAGAATCCCCAAGACCACAACACATGTACTAACATTCTTCGTCATTCATCATTATCATCATCAACAACAACATTCTTTGTCATTTTAAGTACAAATGATTGCATATGCTTTCAGCTTCGCTCCATTCATAGATCACCTTTCCAAATGAGCATGTAGGAATCCAAAGGTATGCACAAAGTAGTACTTATGAAAATTCACAAAAATATATAGAAATTCCGAGTAACTAGTATATGAAGACATAATGTAATAAGTTCCAGTTTAAGGCTAGAACCATGTTGAAAGTAACAAGTTGACTTGTATAGTGTGAGGCAGCATATTGTAACCTTCACAGCAACAAATTGGTCAATTACATTCACTTAGTTTTTTAAGATAAGAGAACAAACAGCTTGTAGCAGAGGAAATAAACCCATTCGCAAATCTCAAATATTCAATAAACCACCAAATGCACTCCGCACAAACAATGAAGTAAAAGACTTGAATTTTTTAATAACAGGAAGATTATAAAATTAAAATAACATAATTATTAAGATCGCGCATAAAACCAACTCAAGATGCTTCATGAATTTTAGCAGGTATTACCATCTTGAAACCTGTAAGCATCCGACATAATTGGAAGAGCAGCAATTATTCTGGAAAGCATCCGAAATAATTGAAAGAAAAACAATTATTCCAGAATAGCTTTGCATATAAGAATATAAGTAATTTACCTAGCCTTTCCCTTGAATGAAACCACGTAACAGATATCTCTGGTTTTCAGTAACACAGTCAAATCTGGAGACTCTCTTCGTAAATAAATTCTCATAAAATATGCATAATTCAACGTTCCAGGAAACATTCACATATTTAAAAAATAACTATATCTTAAATTATTCAATTAAAATTTAAAAATATTACATTATTTAATTAAGATAGGGATATAGTTTGTTATTTCTACATAAGAAACAAACTTGTTTAATAGGAAAGGTATACCTCCTGGATTATTCCCATACATGTCTTGCATTATGGATAAAATGGTTACAATATCTACTTCGCTAGACCCAGATAGGTAGTTTCCATTGGGACACTAGTAAGGCACTTCACCATTTTATTTGTCATAAGGCACATCATCTTTACTCTCTATTTCTCTGATCACAAAGCCAGGCCTAACCAATCCTTCCCTATAGATTATTGTATATTTATAAAGTATTCTTTGTATCAATATAGACTATCATTTCTCAAGTCCAATAACACCCTCCAAGTCTATTCAAAATATTGCTCAGTACCTAATGCAGCACACCACCCCCACCAGGGCCACCACTGCAAATGCACTACCATTCCTACCACCGAGACTTTATGAACAGTTATTGACTGTGCCAAAACGTGAAAATTTTACAAGAATTGAACCAAACCACTTCTTCTTCTAGCCATTTGGGGAAAAAAATTCCTTCAATGTGGTCAAATTCTAGAAAGGCGTCACCCTCAAGGCCTATTGAAGGAACCGCGGAATATTGATGAAGATTGTGAGTGCGTTAAAAAATGAGGAAATTACCAATCCTTGTAAAAAATTCACTTATCTCTCACAATGTAATTAGTGTAGTTAGTCGATTCATGTGTGCTCATTGTTACATCTAGCAAGGAAGAAATTTAAAAAAAAATTAAGTAGGTAAAGAACCTGGACTTAGGAAATGCCTTTTGTTCACTAAACATAATCCAACGAGTACAACTTTATTTTCCTAGAGCTTGGACTGAAACTTTTATTACTATAATATAATGGAGGAACTGCATCCTCAGTCCACAAACCGGCTTATTATGAATTGGGAAGAAAGCTTTATAAAGCCTTCCATAAAGATTACAATCCTCTGTCAAGAAACTCTCAGTGGGTAAGAAACCTAGACTTAGGAAAGGCCTTTTGTTCACTGAACATAATCAAAACAGTACCACTTTATTTTCCTAAAGTTTGGACTTTTAAAATTACATGATATAATGGAGGAACTGCATCCTCAGTCTACAAAACGGCTTAATATAAATTGCGATGAAAGCTTTATAAAGCCTTCTATAAAGATCCCAATCTTCTGAAAAGAAACTCTCACGTCCAGATCCCTAGAAGACGGAACAAGGCAGTGAAGAATCGCAAAGTAGACAGCATGGAGGGGGGAGTACAAAAAGGTAAATAAAGACTGTGTCAATATATCAACTGAATCAGCAATTTAGAAAATAGGTAAAAATCCTTCAGAAGGGTGAAAAAGTTGAGAGATCATCCATCTATAAATGGAAACGTTTTGAACCCTCGTCATTGACGCAGGAAGTAGCTATAGAATAACTGGAATCTCACACACAGATTATTTTTATGAATAGTTCATTCAAATAATTTCAGATAAGCTGTATCGTGCTCAAAGTGACCACCATTGATACTATACATTTTTTACAGGGTAATCAGGAATCGTTCAAGATATACAAAACATATAGCTATGATCAATGGGGTGTGTGAATGCTTCGGCAAAAGGTCTTATTAAAGGAGATTACTTTGTCGATAAAGTACCCAAAAGACATTATACGCTGCTAATATCACATTGTAACATTACTGGACAAAATATATTTAAGTAGACAGTCAATTCATGAGAGGAAAGTGAAATGGTGAGCAAATATGTTTTCTAAAAACACCTTTTTTTCATTTTTCTGAACTTTAACTGTGAAGGCTGGAGGCCAACTTGTAAATATCTCAATCAATGGGGTGACCCATTGTGAAGTTTCATACTATCTTGAACAAGCTGGCAGGTAAATATTCTTGCACCAGTAAATTTGGTGAGTTTTAAATTGCATGATTCATACTTTTCCTGGGGCAGCAGAAAGCTGGCAACTCAGGCCCAATATTGAACAGGTGACCCACATTTACAACACAACCCAATTCTATCACAGTCTTGGGGTTGGTAATCAGAGATAAAGTTATGTCAAGTTAGGTCGTTCAGTTACAGACAATTTTTTCTTGAATAATTAGCGACTTTCTTAAAAAAGAGAACAGAAATGAACCAAGATGAATAACCAAACTTCTTGTCTAGAAATTTGCAAGAAAAAATTCGTCTTAAAACAGGATAAATCTTATCAATTTGATGACTAAGAAGAACTTGACCTGTGTTGAGTGATAGAGAGTGTTGAAGCTGAGGTTCCAAAATCCATATGCGGCACTTTGTCGCAAACTTATATCAGCTAATTTTCCCAACCAATGGTTGTATCTATCCACCAAAGCACGATAAATCATACATGTGTCGAAAAAAATTTAGTATGGACATACACATGTTCTGATTTGCCTTTCCTTCTGCAAATCATGTTAAAGAAAGTAGTGCAGATATATACACTTTTGATAAAAGACATAAATACTAGCATTTTTTACCTTCCAAGTTCTTGCTTCTCCGTTCCATAAACACGAACTGTTCTAATCAAAGATAATGTCTCTTGTGCAACCTATATTATATAACGAAAAAATATTTCACATAAAAATAATTAGGCAATAGTATCTTCAAAACATGACTAGCCTTCTGATCATACTTCATTTGCAGAAGCAGTGAACTCTTGAATCAACTTTGCTGTTTTCTTCTGGTACCTATAAAAAAAGCAGGTAGAAGGAATAACTAATAGCACTACAACAAACTAGAAAGAGCAGAAGGCATGGCATGGTTACAGTTTTGAAGGTGTAAAATAGCCTAAAGGAGGAACCCAGACTTGGATTTATTCACACTACCCATTCCAAAAGGCTGTAAGAAAATTAAACTGATACATATCAGCTTCTTCTTCTTCTTCTTTTTTCTTATCTTTTCTTCTTTCTTTCTTTTTTGAATGTGAAAATGATTTGACCATCGTGGTCATGCAGAAAACCTCCAATAGAAAGTTGACCCAGATAGCCCAAACAACTCCACTTTTGATCTTCTAAATTTCTTATTATAAAAATACCTCATATTCCATTGGTTCTACTCCTAGCATTACTTAGATTCAGTTTCATTCATAAATCCTAGTATAACTGTTGCTTATCCTAGAAACATTCAATTCTAGTACATCTCCCATCCACAAATTTATGTTTATATATCTGTAGTGAGGCAAATTTGAGATTATGACAAGACACCATAGTACATACAAAAAGGGAACAAAATAAAATCTTACCGGCCATATAACAGCATTATGGTTGATAGAGTAGTGCATATTGCCAATGTACATAATCCAAGTGGCCATGATAAAATCAACAAGTAAATCATTGCACCTGTCGCCTGAAAAAGGATAATGAATGAGCTCCTCAACTTCTAGACAAACTCATGAACAGACATTGGTTATTTGATTAGCAAAGATACCTGAAGACCATTGCGTAGTATTAAATTAAGATCATTTCCAATAACACGTGCTACTTGCTGACAATCTGCCCCAAGCCTACTTGTCAAATCACCAACTGTTTCAGAGTCAAAAAAGGAAATATCCTACAAAGGAGGTAAAATCAAAACAAATTATTCAATGCACCAAGAATCCAGATAGTATATCTCTGAAATGCATGTGGCAATGGAAGTATACAAGTAATGGATGCACATGGAAATGGAAGTATTTAACCTGAAAAAGAAGAGTGGAATATAAGGTTTCCCTCATTCGCTTGACCTGCAAAATTGTATGTGGAAGGGTATCAATATTGAAGCCATTAATCTACCAAAAATTTTCAAATTATATCCTAAAAAAGGTGTTTCATAAGATTTACTAAGTTTGGATTCATGAATAACAAAAGATCTGTACATTTCATTGAAACCATCCACATGGCCAAGCCATGTTTAAGACAAGAAAGTACATATGTTGCCCACTTTTTGGATGAGAAACGACTCAAATACCTTTAGAATAATATTCAAAATCATATACCAAGATGTCAAAGTGTCCAGGAACTTTCATGGGATTACAAGTTCCTTCTTAACCCATACAACCAAAAACTGAATGGTGTAACAGGACAGCCAGTCCATATATAACGTCCACCATTCATTTATCCAAGATGCGACAAAAATTACACCTGCTATACTTTTTCTTAAACAAAAGTATTCTTTGAAAAGCAACTGGGTAGTGTCTTTTAAAAGTTAAGTCATGATAGAAACACATCATATAAGCAATGCCAGAACAAAAACCTTTAAGATTCTTTGAATAGTTAAATCATGATATATAAACTCACAAGGATCATATTTGCGATGCCAAAACAGCAACCTCGTACGCCACTGTAAGTCAAATAAAAAGAGCATAAGGTCATCAGCATGGTCACATTATTTATATAGAGCTCACGTTCTACTTGTGGATAATACAAAGTTTGATACAATGCACAATTTTAAAACAATTGACAAAATGAAAGGGAGTTGCTTTATACATTTTTTTAAGCCAAAGTATTGCATTTGTCAGGAAGGAATGGTAAGGATGCTCCATTGTAACCTGAAAGTCGCAAGTTCGAAACGAGAAACAGTCTCTCTACACGTGGAGGTAAGGCTGCATACATCTAACCTTCCAAGGCTCCCGTTAGGTAAAACATTTACATGTTTATTGAGTCAAAGAATTGCGTTTGACAGGAAGGAATGATAGGGTTGCTCTATTGTAACGTGGAGGTTGCACATTCGAAACGGGAAACAACCTCTCTGCATGCACGGGTAAGGCTGCATACATTTGACTCTCCCAGACCCCGCAGTGGTGGGAGCCTCGTGCACTAGGCTGCCCTTTTTCAGGAAGGAAATTTCTATACTTCGGCTGCTAATTTGTAACTCCTATATGCTCCAATGCACCCTTAATTGGAACAACCCACCTCATAAATATGATCAGGACCAAATTTTTATCCAGCATCATACTTGCAAATAAATCATATTTCTTATTTTTAACAATGTTACCTAATTCAGGCGCTATAATAATATGAAATAGTGAATCGGATAAGAGGGCGGGCCTTGGCACAATGGTAAGGTTGCTCCATTGTGACCTGGAGGCAACAGGTTCGAAAGGGGAAACAGCCTCTTCGCATTTGAAGGTAAGGCTGCCCTCACAAATGCTGCAATGGCGACCCTCATCCACTAGGTTAGCGCTTTTTGTATTCCATTCTCTCCCCCAATAATAAAATACATATAACCAAAATATTCAGCTCAAAGAAGAATGCTAATATGAAGAACTCTTCAAGTACCCTAACTCAAAATGGCTCACCTTATTATTTCTTTACAAATGAATAAACCTAGACATTCTGATAAAATTATTGAATAAATATATTTGCAGTATATATGAGAAGCACATCACAGGACCAAAACCTGAGGCTCTGATAGATAGTCGTGCAAGGCCCAACTAGATCTAGAGAAGGGGTGAATATGTCTTTGTAGATTTTTTGAAACCCTAACTGCCTGTAACTGAATTTTGAATTTAAGTTTTAATTAAACCAATTATGAGTGTGAATCCTTCGATTTTGTGTCTGTTTGTTGTATCCGATTACTAAAATACGAGAAGATAATCAAAGTAAAACAATCACATAAACACACCAAATTTACGTAGAAAACCTTGATGGGTAACCCACGAGGACAGTGTCCTGATGTAAAATAATCCACTACGAATAAAGAGAATACAACCTCAAGGTCCAGATTCTTACCCCTAAGAACTACCTAAGTTGATTTACCTGATCTAGTATAATGCCAAACACCTCGTATCAACCACCAATTATAATTTGACGAACAACTTTGGGATTCGTAGCTTTATTATTCTCCACATATAAATTCCTTTGGTTCTTAAGAATAACAATGAATACTATCACAACTAGATGAACTCTCAAAATATGTGCGACAAACAAAAATACTGATATATGAAAAATCTCAATGTGATAATTTGCATCAAAATCATTTATATATATGTCCTCTTGTGTTTTCCAAAAACTTAGTAATGTATATATAGATTTTTGAAAGAGTAGTCCTAAGAAATAGGTTTAATGAACCTAACTTCCAGCAGCCAGAGATAGAACCCTTGTTTGGGGGATTGATCCCTTGCTCTCAGCAGTTGAAGGATTGATACTTCTACAGGGGACCAATCCCTCTGCGAACAAAAACACAGTTTTTGCCATATTGACACAATAAACTGATTTTTATGCAATCACACCGTTGTGGACACGGACAACTAGATCAGGTTAAAAAACAATTAGAACTCTTCCTATATGCAAATTAATTGTAAAGCAATCAAATCAAAATATGAAAAAATGTGCCCTCAATGTTCAATGATAAACCCTAATTATGAGTAATCAACAAAATTATTCAAATTACCTTCTTACCCTTGGCATCTCTATCATTGTTGATCATCTTCATGAGTCATCTCCAATGGATCAAGAGATAATCAACTTTATCTAAATGACTCACCAATAAAATAAAGAGTACAAACTCTGGTTTTTGTTACGAAATTTGCCAACCTATGACACTAAGTCCTAACACAAAGTATAGGCTAAAGCTCAGTCATCTGTAAGTGCCTACGCAAGCATACAAAAGAGCACGTTGCATAGGAACCTAAGTAATTTCCTTAAGCAATTGTAATGTTAAACATGTTGTACGCATAGTGTGCCGTTTGTCACCACATCAGTTTCTAATTGTACTTTTGTAAGCAAGCAATGGTCAAAAGTACAAAATTTTAAAGAGAGAGTATGAAAATGAAAATGCTTCCTGAGATCATTATCTACTAACAAATTTCAAGAAGAGTAGAAACAAGAAAACAAATTTTTAAATCAAACCCATGGAATGATACAGATCTAGCAGGATTATCCATATATAATATAATGCATACCAGCCAACACAAGCAGTGTACTTTAGAATCTACTCCACAAACCTTGACACCATTTTAGAGATCAAAATGAATTTGCATCAATGTAGAAAAATGCCTGGGCAGATTGTAACATTCTCACATGCATCACACTTCACTCCTATTTATTTGAAATTCATCTTCTTTCATCGAAAGTTTAATGAATCCATAGAAGAACACACACACACACACAGATATATAAAGAGAGAGAAAGAAAGTTCCAACTTCCAACACAAAATTTGTTTTAGATCAATATTCTGATACCTAAAAAGTAAGGTATCGGGTAACACTAAATGGAAAAGTAAGCAAAAATTTACACCTACAAAAACTAATAAAGTCTAAAACCTTGTGTTGCCTAGGAGCCCTATCACCTAGCATTGTAAGTAGGTTAGGCACGCATAGGTTCACTTGCTTAAATGTCTTTTCAATGAAATTAGGTTTTTTTTTTTGGTTTGTAAGCTGCAAGACAGGAAAGATATGAAATGGCCAACTATATAAATTGTGAATAATTTTTTAATATACAAAAAGAATAGAATCTGTTATTACTACAATAGAAATTAATATGAGTCTGAAATATGATTTTGAATAAATTTTTAGGACTGAGGTATAAGCAGAAGGGGAAAATAAGATAAAGGTTCATTCACTAGTTGCTTCTAAGAGAAGGGAGCTTTGATCATACAAGATTTTAACCTGCAAATTCCAGAAGTGAAACATAGTAGAACTAAAAGGCGCACATTCCGGTGGAACACCATGATTTCACCACTCTGTGCGGAAAAGATTGATGCCGTCAAGAAATGTGGTATGGAAATCTCGGAAAGCTGAACCACAAAAGTGTAATTTAGGTGTGTCAGTAAGAAACTATAAAACCGAAAATGGTTAAGATAAACTACAAAACTGAAAATGGTTCAGATAACTAACTTCAAGATAGCTTTTTTCACCTTAGAAAATTTTCATGCATGATTTTCCACTGCAATGGCTTTAAAAAGAGCCGACTGGGGAAGATGAATCCATGTAGTCAACCCAAATAAGTTGGGATTAAGTTTTGTTGAGTTGAATTTCTGCTGTGCAATATATATGTCAGGCATGATCAATGGCCAGCTATCTAAAGAAATATTAGATCGATGAATTACGTTCATATATTTTTCTTAGAAGACCAATTTATATTATTTGTCCACTTTAATCATCATTCAAAAAGCCACTGCACCACATACTTTAATCGCCACTAGTTGGGGTCGACTACATGGATACATCCCCTCCAATCAACTATTTTTACAAAAGAATATCAAAGATTAAACCTGTATCCAGTCTAACTATCCCAACATCTTGCAATGACAAAATCAACATTGGATGATGAACTCACTAAGGTCTGTTTGCCTGTTTGAAATGGCACTCTCCTAATATATTCTTGCCAATTGGTATTACAACATCTAATTTGTCTTCAATTTATTTTTAGAGATGGAATTTAGGTCAATTTTTACTTTTTTAGAAGAACGAGGTTGGTCACTAGCTGAGGATCTTCCTTGGGCAAAATTCTTCTATGCTATCATAATTCTCTCTAGTATCACCTTTCTCTCTCTTCAGATCACTTTGCATTAAAATTTTCTTTATCCTTAAATACTTATAACAAGAAAAGAAATTCATTCGATTTCCATTTTTAAGAACACCATTAGTCATTCCGAAAGAAGTTATGCATATTGTAAAAGGTGCCGACTAACTTGTTTGCTAAAGTGTTTTGGAGGCCATATCCATACAAAGACTGCGAAGGAAATGGTTGCATAACCACGAATAATCATGCAAATATAACTACATTGTCACTAAATTTGCTAATTTGATATTAAGCTGACATTTTATCAAACAAATGGCATACTAAGTAAGATAAATTATACTATATAGTACATATACATACACACATACAACAAACAAGAAGCAAATATAATGCCATACCGCTGTAAGAACTAGGGCAGAAAAAGCCGCGATAATAACCAAACGATCTTGGGCGATCAGTTGCCACATTCTCTGAAGCGCTCGCACGACAGTCACCGGTTTTGCAACAAGTCCCACTTCAACGTCTTCAGAGAAGCTCCACCAGCTTCCACCAGGCAAAATTGATCGAAGAAAACCAGCCCACCTCCGCAGCCTCTCACCAAACTCAACATTTTCTTCTCCGTAGTCTCTCGAAGACCCCTCTGGATTGTTTTGCACAGAAAACCCATTAATGGAGGCAGATTTTGGGGGAAGAATGTAATTCAATCGCCGATTAGACGAAGAGAGAGAGAATTGGAGTTTGGTTTTGGGGGGTAAATGGAGGAGTTTGGGACGAGTGTTGAGAGATGTTTGTGTGTGGTGAAGAGGAGATGAGAAGCGAGGTTGAAGATTGGAAAGAGTGAGAGCCATGGATGAATGTTGGGTGAGCTAACAAGTAGTTGCAGAGAAGAGAAGGTATGGTTGTGGTTGGTGCTTGATTATTATAGTTGTTGTCTTGCACAGACAACACTCACCGATATCCAGAAGAAGAAGCCACCATTTCGGTGTTTGTAAAGAAGTTGCGACTTACACGACTCATCCCAGGGAAAGCGCCAATAAAGTGGGACCTGGAATTTTAATGGTCTGTAGACGGGTTGGAAAAGTAACTCGAACAAATTGGACCAGTAGTATTTCTTGCACGTCTCAAATAATAATGAGTATTTTCTTGAACTTCTCTCAAATAAAAGTTGAAGTGTGAGTTATTGTGGGGAAAGAAAATAAACAAACAAATAAATTTGTTTAATTTGAAATATAATATTTAATATTTTAAATAGTAATCATTTGTTAATATTCATTTGTTGTAAGATTTTTTAAAATAATAATATAAAGACATATTTGATAAAAAATAATTGTAAGTTTAAAAAATATAATGATTAGTTTTAAAATGTTTGTTTATTTATTTAAAATTATTGTTACCAAAAGTTGTTGTAAGGAAACATATAAAAATATTAAATTGATGTTTTTATTTTTGGCAGCTATTCAATAAACTTTTTAGCACTATGCAAAATAAAATAATTTTTATTAAACACGTTTGATCTACTGTTCACCACATGGTAGCCGATAAAAACAAAAACACACAAAATAATACATGTATAAACACAAACCAAAAATAATACCGCGTACAAACACCGACCCTAACGCGTTTTATTTTTGATATTTTTGTTTTTGTCAATTAATGTAGCAATGACAGTAGAAAAAACACTTTGAAAAAAAATGGTTTGGTTTTGTATAGTGCCAAAACTTTTTGTGAATGGTGACAAAAAATAAAAACCAAAATTTGATATTTTTACGCATTTTAGCACACTGTAACAATGATTATTGTAATGATAAATAGTTAGAAAATAATAATAAATTTTAAATGACATTTTAAAACTAACCAATAAAACAAAAACAATTTTTAAGTAAAAAAATTGCAACATTTTTTAATTATTTTTATTTTATTTTTATGTTCTTAAAAAACACTTTTGAGGAAAGCACAAGAATATGCACACCACCATATTGAAGTGCCAATAATACGACACCGTGTGAGGATGAGATTTTCCAGCGCCGTGATTGACTGCCACAATCAACAATCTCCCCTTGCCCGCAAGAAAACTCGACTGTTAACAGTTCCCACAGCGACACGTTTACATTCCATTAGACAATTCTACCCTCATCACGTCGCTCGAATCCCAAATTTTCATTACCACAACAAATCCTAAATTATGGATATTTCAGTCTTTTCAATTCCACCGAACAAAATATCTCCACCGATCCTTCGCAGCTGGGAGCTCCATATCTCTCAGTTCTCTCTCTCTCTCCCCTCTCTTTCTCTCTCTCTCTAAACTCCGCCGCGATGGCCGTGGTGATCGGAAACACAGCTCTGTTAGTCGATGTGATAGCGCCTCGGATCGTATTACCGGACCGCAAGCTCCGCCCGGTGCCCGCCGATGTCCTCTTGAACCTGTTCCACATCGCGAACACGAACGCGTCGCACGCTTCTATGGCGACGAAAAGCTTCGAATCGGATAAGGAGACTCGGAATCAGAGAGTTGGCGTTCGAGGGAAGGTGAATTCGAAGGTTAACGCGGTGGATTCCGAAGGTTCGAGCGACGACGACGGGAATGGATACGAGGAGGAGGAAGAGGAGGGGTTTGATTGGGAGAAGGAAATGAGGAAGAGAGTGAAGGAGATTGAAGAGAGGAAAGAGTTGGAGAGGAAGGCCGAGGAGTTGCAGAGTCGAATGGAGGATGGTGAAGGGGAGTTCAAAGAAGAGACAGAGGAGGAGAAGAGGATGAGAGTGAGAAAAGAGCTCGAAAAGGTTTGATAGTATTTGTTTATTTAGTGTTGACATACTTGATAAATCGTTGCAAGTGGCTTTCTTTCTTATTTTACGTTTGGTTGCTGATAAAATGCTAGAAAGAAACAATTTGAAGCTTAATTGGTTTTTTGTTACTTGGATTAGTGAGAAGAAAGAATAGAAAAACAAAACTTAGTATAACTGTGACTAGGGTTCCAAATGAACCAAGTTGTTCATGAATTGCTTGGACTCGGCTTCATCAAAGCTCATCTCGTGCTCGTTGCTAATCAAGCTCGAGTCTTTTTTGACGAACTAGTTGAGCCTGAACAACCCATGGCTTGGCTCTTTAGGCTTATGAACAAGCTCAGCAAGATTCTTGAACATGGCTCATTTTATCAAGAATTGTTTAAAATTTATACTTTAAGTTTCTCCTTAACAATCTTTAGTTTGACCTTGCGATCAGGATCAGAATTGCGAGTCAATTGAGGCAAGCTCAAGCTCAAGCTCAAGCTCAAGCTCAAGTTCAATGAGAAATGTTGGAGCTCGAGCTCGAACTCGAACTGGCTAAGCAGCCTGATATCTGACTTAGTTTAGGTGATTTATCTTGAAAACCAAGAGTAACCAAAACTGTTTTTTAGTTTTCTAAACCAAGCGGATTTTCAATCTGAAAAACTGAAAATTCTCTAAAAACTGTTCTTTGAGTTACATTCCAAGCAAGGCCTAAGGAACCGATCAGGGAAAGAGAAATATTTTTGCATTTTCTTTTTGTTCTTTTCTTTTATGCTAATGTGTTTCAATATTAGATTATCAAACAACATTGTTAGTAACTTATTTACATGGGAAGTTATGTAGATGTTGTGTTCCTCATTTTAGAGGTCAAAGTTAATGTAATGGTGTACTATGGCTGAACCATGGATGTCATTGTTTTTTCTCAAAAGATTCAGTGGCACAGATACAAAGTTGTTGTATGACTTAGCATTATTTTTATGTTGCTAGTAGTAAAATAGGAACTTTTGTTGTATGAGAGTACAGGTGGCTAAGGAGCAAGTGGAGCGGAGAAAGACAGCTCAGTTGATGTTCGATTTGGGTCAGAGGGCTTATGGGAAGGGTATGTATGGACGTGCCATTGAGTTCCTGGAAGGTGCCCTCACAATCATTCCCAGGCCGACTTTGTTTGGTGGTGAGGTTGGTCCGATAATTGAAAAATTGGGTCTCTTTTGGAGATCTCTTTTGATTATGGACTGATGTGACTACTATGGTTCTGGTTCTCAGATACAGATATGGCTTGCTATGGCGTATGAAGCCAATAACCGCCATGCAGATTGCATTGCTTTATACAAGCAATTAGAACAGAAGCATCCCAGTGTCAGCATCCGACGCCAAGCTTCAGAGCTTCGCTACATCTTGCAAGCACCTAAGCTCAAGATATCCCAGGAGGAGATGGTAACCATACCACTGATAGGTTCTAGCTATGATAGGTGAGTTTTTGGGTTTTTTTTATTTAATTTTCCTGTGTAATTAATATCAACTATAGATATTTGCTGCTTTGGCGAATGTATAGGATGTCTCACAGCTTTGAAGCATAAAGGTCTATTTAATAAGCATCAATTGGCTCTAATAGCAGGAGCAGCAAAAGTATGGTCTTCCGTAGCACTTCATTGGTTTAGATGTAAATCAAGAATGATTTAATTGGGAACAATAAGAGCTATACTTGGCATAGAAAAACATTGAGGAGAGACAAAAAACTTTACCAGTCACAATGGGTTTACATAAAGTTGTCTTTGAGTCCTTATTTTTGCATTGATTCAGATGAGCTGGTCAGCGTATCTAGGAAGAGGTCGCATAGCGTATCTTATTTGTTAATAATCTAATTTTAGTTGGAAAAAACTAGAGTAGGGGTTAGTTTTATGTTGACTACAGAATTGCTTATAACCAGACTTTTAAAATTATGAGCTATTAGAAGTGTGTTTTAGAATCTGATGTTTCAGTAGAAGAGCTATAACCCCCGATGTTCATTGCACCCAATAGGACCTAGAGGTGCACCAAGGAAGGACAAGATGTGAGAAAGCTAGCTAAGATGGTATGGCCTTGTGCCATTAAGATCAATGACTGCACTAGTTAGGAAGAATGATTTGGTTTAAGTTGAAGGCACTCCATAAATTTATGTTACATGGACTGACATATAGGGTTCAGGGGCAGGTGCACTGTGCACCTACATGTGGCACCTGTACCCAAGTGCATCCAAATGTTGGCAATTGACTATTGTCTGCCCCCATGTTAAAACCAGGGTATCATGACTGGATTATACAATACCATTTTGTTCTACGTGTTCTCAAAATTTTCAAAACAAGTATTTTCAACTCCTTTGAACTCACTTCCAAGTTTTGAATTCTCAACCTCAATCAACAAAGTTGCAGTGTATCTTAAATGGAGTTCTTTCTCCCTTTTCCTTAATTTATTTACTAGGGATGTGTTTTGCTAGATTAGTATGCTGGCAGTAACTACACCTACTTCTAATCAAACTAAGGTTTTATAAGTGAGTGTTGTTTAGGATAATTGCATATGGGAGATAAATAAATAAAATAAAATAAAATAATAAAAAAAACCCATGCTATTACTGTGTCTGCAGCTAAATTTACTATGTAATCCTGAAATGTAGGAAAATAGCTTTTCCTTGTTCTTTTGAGGTTCCTTTATGGAGAATAATTTGCTTCTCCGGACCTTATTAAGCTCTTACTGTAAAAGTATATTTGATGCCATAGCTAATCAATATCACATACCAAATGACAGAAGCTTCATTTTTATGTCATCAATGCCCTCTCATTTAAATTTTCTTTTTTTATTTGAAAACATTAAACCTAGGCTGACAGGAAGCACATTAATTTAACCGGTACACGGGATCTATCAGTTGTTCCTTTAGCGATATGCACAATCTTCCTTCTTTCGGTTTTGCTTGTGTTTTTAATGGAATTCTTTGATATTCTTTGATTTCCATTTCTTACACATTTAATTATGTTGTTGGACTACAATGTAGGACTTCCTCGAAATCTGCATCTCTGTGGATGCCTACATAACCTACTGTTTAGCTTTTACAATGGGTCAAAAAAATTGTACTCCGTTGGTTTGGCCATTTTGTTGCTCATCCTGTCAAATGTTGGCCCATTCTTTTCCCCCAGTTCAGCAGTATGTTTCTCCATAAATTTTCATGACTCATATTTCTTGTTGTTTTAATCTTTTTTTCTTTAGATCCTCCATCCGGAACTCCCATCAATACTTCATGTCCAACTGTGATCCCACATGATGAAATAAGAACACTCTTGGGAAATTAACATGCTGTATCACTATTACTGAGATGTCGGTTACTTCCTATGTGGCAATTTCTTATAGATATTAACATTTGATGTAGCTTCATGGTACTTGTGTGGGGCCACGGTCCTAAAATATGGTAGGTTTTGAGATATTAGGATCTTTAGCTAGCCGATCAGGATAATTGTGTGAGATATATATGCCCAGTGCAGTGAAGACTTCCAGTGACCACTACAATTTCAGATATTGGTTTTTGTTATGACAAAACTAGAAGGTATAATTGCAATGCTATGTCATTTCAACTGACATCTAATTCAGATTTTTTACCATCTAAAACTTGATTTAGAAGACTGTCTCGATGTCATTCTTCATTAAAGTTATTTCTGAATATTTCCTTCCTTGTTCTGAACCTAGACAATGCATTTTGGTTGTCAATTGTGTTGTTTAGGTCTTGTATTGGCCCAGTGTTTCTCATTTTTTCATGGTATCTGATTATTATCACTTTCAGCAATTTAATTAAGTTGATGGGATTCTGTAACTTTGCTGTTTCAGCTATGCAGCAACATGGACTGATAAATACAAGGACAAAGACGAAAGGCGAAGTGGGTCGACGACGAATCAGCTCCCGTCAAGCCGAGACTATCTAGGGGACTTTTTGGTGTGGCGACCACCTACTGATTTGGAGAAGAACCAAGCATTCTGGGTAGCTTTAACATTATGGTTGGGTTTGGTTGGAGCTGGGCTCTTTCTTACAAGATGAATCATATATATACAATCATGAACTGTAAGTCTGCCGCTGATTGTGATTTGTAAAATGTATTCATTCTTGAAAATAGGTTGTGGTTAATGTTGTATATGTAATTTTATGCGAATGCCCTTTGTGAAATATAGCGTATTTTGTGATTGTTTCCTGGTCTGACTATATCTTTTTGTTTTGTTTCTCTCTTCCAATTTGACACTTCATTATGTACTAGCCAGCAGATTTTACTTATTTATTTATTTTAATATTACTGTTTTTCCTGCATGCATACAATCGTAAACAGTTTTTCAATGGGCAGCTAAGTCAAATCATTTAATTTAATTTTTATTTTTTTTATTGACAAGAAATTTGCACACTTATTTGTTCTTGTGGGATTTGAATCTTCACGACATAGAAAATATATCATTAGGCACAAGGCTTAATCAAAAAAAATTTATTGATCACGTGACTCAGGGCCATCAAATGGATCAACAAAGAAAACATGTGACATTTACGCATTAGTGAGATGATTTTAATTTCTATGAAATAATAATAATAATAATAATAATTTCTATGTTCTGCATGTAAAATATGGTTGTGTGATGCAAAGTTAATTCTCACGAAAATAAGATGTTATTACTATGCATATTTTGGATTTTTTTATTTATTTATGATTTTACCTGTTTTATTTAAATTTTAACATTGTTTAAAATAATGACACATCTGATGATAAATTAACGGAAATGGGATAATTTGATGAATTTATGAAAAGTTAAGAGGGTTTCTTGAGGTTTACTAAATGCAAGGAATAAATGAAAGTTTTATGATTTTGTTTCAAAGAGAGATTTGAACAAATTCGAGTTTCACTTATGTTTATAATCTTATTTGAATACCCATGAATAACAATGTGAATTATGTCAATGTATTCGACTCAAATTGATAACAAAAAAATATAAATATAAACTCAACCCTCCCATAAACAATGACAGATTTCTTTAGCGAGAAACAAAAAAAAAAAAAAATGAATTCCCAAATTCTGATGTGAATCAAGGAAGTTCCGGAACAAAGGAGAAGAACCGGACTGGTTCTAATAGCACTTTCAATCCAAAATCTTTTTGCGTACCCAATCATGAGACAATGGGGTGCACATAGTTCGAATTAAATTAGTGTAGGAGTATTTTGAAATCAAATCAATTCTAATAGCTTTATAATTAAATTTGGATCGTGAAATTAAAATAAACTAATTATGAATGAATCATTTGGTTCAATTCAACTCTGCAATTACGAGATTCTTCATATCCTTATTCAATGACGAACTCAGACCTAATAGAGATGATTAATATTAAGATTGAATTTAATTTGATGAGAGTAGTCAGAATCAATCAACCAAATCATATTTATAAGCGCTTTTAATATATTTAGAATTAGGTTTGGCAGCCACACTATTTGAAATCGAATCGGATCGGATCAAACCGTGAAGAAAAGAGATCAAATTGATCGGTCGGGTTGGATTTACGGTTCAATATAATTTCTTTGTTCATTGTTGTTATATGTTTCTACTTTTATAGTTTTTAATGCTGCATTTTTTCCCTTTTCTTGCGTATCAGTAACAGTAGCTTCAATATGTGGTGAAAAAAAAAATCACTTCTTCCGTATGCTTGATCCTAAATGCTACATATATGCACCGAAAAATGAATACAAGGATTTGATTACATTAAAACCTGACATGCATTTAGTACATTTAACAATTCCACAACTAATAAATGGGTTGTGAGGGAGTGAAATCTCCCAAATAGTGTTTTTTTTTTTTTTTTTTTCCTGGAAATTCAAACAATTTGTATAAATTTAAGGATATTTACCGCAATGGCTTGTGAATAATTTGGTTGTGATTTGCTTAAACTGGGTGCATGTATTGCAGGCTTGCAGCAAAGGTATGGGAAAATATATACTGTGGTGTAGATATTTTCATATTTTGCATACACCACCTTTGACTACCACAATTGCCACCAAAACAAAATTTCAAAACCGATATTTGAGTCTAATGGAAAACATCTACATAGACTCAAAATTACCTTAAAAAAAGAAAAGAAGAAGAAGCAATTGACATAAAAATGACATATAAGGAAAAGTTTGGCACAGTCGTCCACTCGTTACTGAATTTTCATAGAATGTCTTTGTCATTCATGGATCTATTGTCTGAATCCTCAGAGTTTTTACTTTGTTTTTTCTTTTGAGTACGAAAACGTCGATCAGAGTAGTTTTCGACACCAAAGTAGCCTCCAATAGACGTCAAGCCTGCAACAAAAATTCACATTATCAATGGATCATTAGCAACTAATAAATGTAACAAGTATTGTAAATGTAATGAATTGTCATGTGAGCCTCTATAGCATGAACAGAGTATTGAACCAACACCTCTCAACATTAAAACTATAGACAACCATTTGTCTCGAAAATTTTAAACTCTTAAGAACAACTGTGTATAAAAGTTCTCACTGATATGTCTTCAGAAATGTAATGAGTTCTCAATTTAAAGCCCCATAATGAAGTAGTTGTTAGAATCAATAGAATGTAAGCAATACTTGAAGTCTTGTGTATTTACCTCCTCCACACCAATAATCACTTCTTGCTCTAAAATGTCACTTTGAGGAATATTAAATCTATCAATAAAACATACAACTGACATTGGAGATAAAGATGTTATGGTTAAATCGTTTGTCACATGAAAACGTAAACATCCCATGTATATTAATGCATTGATGGTGTGTTAGAATATTATTTATGTAATATGATCAGTTTTAGAAACTTTATAGGTAAAAGAAGAAAAAGAAAAGAAATTGGCTTTTTTTTTTTTTTTTTTTTTTTTTTTTCTCTATACAATTTTTTGAGATATTTGAAAAGCAAAATAAGTCATTTAGTAAAATTTTTAATTTAATAAGGAGAGATTATATATATATATATAGGAGTATATATTTTTTCCCAAGTTAAAAGCAAATTGTATAGGTAATTAGAATTTAAATTCGTGCAATTAGTATTTTGTTATAATATTATATTTATAGAGTTAGAAATTATAATCATTTTCCACCAAGGAAAGTATTTTAGAAATTGTAATCCTTGTCCACCAAGGAATGGATTGAGTATGAGAGTCTATAAATGGAATTAAATCATAAGCCTTCAAGAGTGATCTAAGAGCGTCATTCCGTTTGTCAAGAGATTCACACAACTCTCACACTCTTTCAACACATAACTCTCACGGCAACGAATAACCCAGTTGAGAGAGATGTTTCCCACAAAAGATGAAATCCTCTATTACCTGAGAAGTAAAGTGATGGGAACGAGCTTGCCTGAGGGTATAATATTGGACATTGATCTTTACATGAATGCCCCATGCGTGGGGTAAGTGCAAAAAACACCCATTTATTTTAAAAATGTGCAAATAATACTCCTATTGTTCAAACGCCACCCCTGTAGTTTCATAATTATGCAAATAAGGAGTTCTTGTCAGAGGGATGTGTAAATATACGAAAATACCCCCCAATATTCTTTATACAATAATAATAATAAATTGCTAGAAGTTGAAATTACCCAAATAGACACAATTCTAAACCGCGTCGTTTTGGGTAATAAACACTAATAGTATACAAAATTGTAAACGGTATCGTTTTGGGTGATTAAACACAAATAGGGGCTATACTTCTTCTTCCCAAACACAACCTCCACAGCTTCACAGCCTCAGATCACAACCAACCAAACACAGATCACAACCAACACAAACAGAGTCAGACAGATTTCTACATATACCAATTCTGAGGCAAGCTGCTAGTATATATTCAACCATCCATCCAAAGCAATCTTCCAGAACAAGATTTGAAGGATTGATTCAGGGCTTTTTCAAAACTGAAACATTTTCTTACGTGGGAATATAATGGAAGAACCCACCTGACTGAATTTAAACAAACAGGAAGTCTTGTTCTAAGGAAGCAATCTCTCCACCTCCCTATTCACATCCTGCACAAACACATGGGTGTTTCTTCTGCCGCTTCTTCACTTGTTTCTTGCTAGCATGCCGGTGGTGAATATCGAGGCCATCCACCCCCGTGCCGCCGAAAAATTCCCACTTTACTCATCCACCAAAATCACATCCCAACCCACTTCGTACACATGATTGGGAAGCAGAATATAATTCCCAATTTGCAATCCGAAAAGAGCTTACACTCCTTTCGAATTTGCTCTCTCGCGTGGTGAAGAAGGTCGTATAAATCGCTCACTTTGGTGGTGAATTGAACGTAGTAGGTTTCGATTTTCGGATGTTTCTCTTCGACCAAGTATGAGTTTTAGTCAACGAATACTGTTTGGCCGTTCTGATTGAGGAATTTTAGAGGAGGGTTTTGTGGGTCAGAACAAATATAAGAAGTTACAAGGTGTGGGGCAACAGCAGTGGAGGATGGCGGCGATGGAACTGAGCTCGACGGCGAAATTTTGGCGGAGGTGGGGGGAATTGGGTGGGCGTTAGTGGAAGAGGGCGATGCCACCGGTGGAGATGACGCCGCTCAACAGTTAAATAGAGAGAGAAAAAATCTTTAGAGAGAGAGAGAGAGAGAAAAAAAAAAAAAAAAAGAATAAAAAAAAGAAAAGAAAAATTTTATTATATTGAGAAAAGAAAATAAATAAAATATAAAAATATAAAAAGAAAAGCATTACAGGGAAAGAAAACATAAATAAAATACATAAATATGAGTATTATATATAGAAATAAAGGATATAATATAAATAAGAGAGAGAAATATAAATACAATGAGTATTATATATATATATATATATATATATATATATATATATATATATAAGTATTATATATAAAAATGAGGGATATAATATAAATAGGAGAGAGAAATATAAATATAATGAGTATTATACATATATAATGTGTATTATATATAGATTATTTATAGAAAGAAAATTAATTAATACAAATAAGAAAAAAAAAACTTAAAGAAAGGAAAAAATATATATATATCTATATAAATAGGAGAGAGAAATATGAATATAATGAGTAATATATATATATGTGTATTATATATAGAGTATTTATAGAAATAAAATTAATTAAATAAGGTTATTATATATATTATATAAAGAAATGAGAGAGAAAATGAGTAAAGGGTAGTTTGGTTATTATATAT